GGCTGCTGGCGGTCATCCAGGTCCCAAAGGGAGCTCCAGAATGTGTGTCCTCGTTCAGATTTCAGCTTCACGTGGGGTGCCTAGAAACCCCTAAGACTGTCAACTTCTTCCTCCATAGCAACAGAGAAACTGGCCCTCCCCCTCTCTCCCGCCTGCTGGGGAGGTCAGAGATGGGGTCCCTGGGAAGAACCCAAGAACCAAGAACCAGCAGTTGCCACTCTGGTGTCTGCCAGCCCTGGGGTCCCTCCTATTGCTGCAAAGACAAAACCCTCAGTCTTCCTTTCCTCGCCGCACTCAAGGGGCCACCACACACACAAGGCTTAAGGGCTCCTTAATCAGTATCCTCACGGAGACTCTTGTCACCCCCACTGCCTTTGCTGGCCACGCCTGGAGAAGCTGCTGCTTCATGGAATTTCTGGATCTTCCATCAAAATCTTCACCCGCAGAGTCAAAGCGGCTCAGTTCTGCGACTCATTTAGCAATAGCTTTAGGCACAGAGACTTGGCAACACTTTGTATAGCCTGCGGGCTTCTCAGCCCTACCCCGTGCTAAACCGTTTCATGGATGCCTGCTCTCAACTCATCTGGCAGCCAAGATAGTACAAAGCATAGGGCACTGGCCTTGCACGTGGCTGACCCCTGGTATTGCATAGGGTCTGTCCCCGCCACAGGAGTGATCTATCAGAGACCAATGATTCCAAAATGGGAATGATCCCTGAGCACAGCCAGGGGTGACCCCTCCCCCAAACAAAATCCAACCAAGTTATCTCACATCTGTTTTGGGTGGCATTTCTCCTTCTTCATTTCCAGAGAAATCTGTTTCCTGTTGATTCCAAATCCTATTGATGATTTCCTGCCTGCATGTCTGGGATTCTAATGGATCCTCACAGGCACTGAGGGGGGAATCTTAAATGTTTTGTCAGTATTTGCAGCAGAAATGAAGCTTTCATGTGAAGGTTGTACTTACCTGAAAAAATAAATGTCTTCGCCTTCTGTGAAAGAAGTGAGCCAAGTGGTGTTTATGGAGATCAGGAGCTCTCTGCCTTGCCTTCGTCAACCGAAATACGAACCTGTGTATGTCATCTAGCACACGGAAAAAGATGTTTGTTTGGAAGTGGACAATTTCCCAACGTAGGGCTCACCTGAAAGAAATATTTTGGTGTAGGCCAGGACACAACCAGCAGTGCTCAGAGCCACTCCTGGTGGTTCTTTGAGGACCATATGCAGTGCTGGGGATCAGCTGGGCCTGGCCACATGCAAGCCAAGTGCATAAAGCTCGCTACAGTCTCTCTGGCCTTAGAAGTGATGCTTGATGAAGCTGCACCCCATTGCCTGATGGTCCCTACAGCATGCCAACGACCCTTTTTAGCATGCAGAGTCTTTTTTTTCTTTTCATGGAAAAGCAGGGTTTATACTTACCAGGTAAACTTGTTTTGAGGGACAATGTTAAGATAAAGTGGCACCAAGGCCTCATTCTTTTGCTCAAATCGTTAATTAGGACCTAGATCATTCTAGGATCAAAGACCATTTCATAAGAAGTGATTTTATCACTTTTGAGGCAGTTGCCATCGGTAGTACACATCCAGCTAATTCCCTGAGGTCTCCTTTTCAGGAAATCTCCCCAGGAAAATGGTGAGCCCTTGTGGTGGGACTCTGGACCATGAGTGACTTTACATCTGGTGATTTTGCAGAGATGGGAGGACAAGGTTTCCGAGAGTCATTTTTTTGTTCTTCTGTAGCCCTCGTGAAGAACCCAGTTCACTGAAAGACTCCAGCGAACATTTTCTGAGGCTGTTCTCCCAGCCTCTGCTGCCAAGTCACGAACTACAGAAATGAGGGGCGTTGTCTTTCTCGAGAAGGCTAATGGGAAAGCAAGTCAGCTTCCTCCTCAGACAAGGCTCTTCCTACCTAAACCAAACAGAACCCTGGGATTAATGGTTGGAACAGGAGGCCATGGGAACACTTGGGACAGCCAATGCCTGGGAAGGAAGTAGGTGACAGTTGAATGGGCCCATTGAAGGAAGAGAAAGGGTTGGCAGGAGCAGGCGCTGGGGCGAGCCAAGGGGTGGGTTGAGTGTGTGTGTGTGTGTGTGTGTGTGTGTGTGTGTGTGTGTGTGTGCGCGCGCCCGCGTGCATGCATGCATGTGTATTTGGCTTTACTCAGAGAGCAATTAAGAGGTAGAGAGATGTGACTTTCTCATGATGACCCTTGATTGATTGCAAGTCTTTTTCTCCCCCAAGCAGTGGTCAAACTTCTTATGCATTTATTCCTGACTTAGATGACCTTTGTTTTCAAAGCTTCACAGAGTTTGGTGCCCAGATGAGCAATATCCAGCCCTCCTGTTAGAAATGCGCATTCTCAGTCGGCCCCAGAATGACAAGTTCAGGTTTTTTAACTCATACATTATCAAGGCTAGCAGTTCTGATGTGTAGGATGACATTGCTTTGTCATTTCACCCTTTCTCCACAAGGAGCTTGGGCTTATCTAGTTATACCCATCACAGTGTTCCTGAGGCACTTCCATTCCATTGTGTTTATCTGTAAATTCTTCCCTAAGCTCTCCTCCCCAACCAGTCAATCAGCTTTTCCCCTAATCAGGCCCTGTTAACTTGTAGGTTACATTCCTCAGAAATATATGATTTTATATGTATGAGTGTAATATTGTCTTTCTCCTCTCCTTATCCCTTATGAACAGTTAACTTTAAAGCAATGCCCTTTTTGTATAGATACAGGAAGACCGTTAACATTATGCTTTGTAACTTGGGATTCAATTGACTTTGAATATTATTCACTCCCGGGCATCTGCTTCTCGACTTAAGCCTCAGTTGCCCTTAGTTCCTAACACCCCAAAAGCAGGGTCCCGACGAGGGACTGAATGGACCCAGGGCAAGCGGTGAGCTACTCTGGCATCGAAATGGGCCAGGCCAAGGTGCCAGGATTCTTAACTATAAGAGCTTGATCATAGACAAATGCTGTCATGATCCAAAAGTAACAACGAGAGTAGGACCCTGCGAGGGGTAGGAAAGACTATCTGGCCTGAGCACTATAGTCTGAGATCGAGATGGTCTTAGGAGGGCAATTCTAAAATTTTAAGGTATTTCTTACTGTATCCATACAACATGATTTATATTATATATGCTTATATGTTTGTTGGACAAGGAGAGGAGAAACACACCCATGGGATTCCACTCTAGGGTGGGTCGTCCTGCTGAGAGTATCTGTCCTAGAAGTGGCTTTCCCTGAGGGAAAGAATTCCCCCTATTCCACCCCTATTGGTTGTGACCACACCTATGTGTAATTACTACCCCAACCCCTCATGCTTTGGGATTTAACTGTACTGTAAGAGTGGGCTGGAGGATCAGAATCCAGACTCCAGAGCAAGAGGAGAAAGGGGAGCAGAATCAGAATCCAGACTCCAGAGAAGGAGGATAAAGGAGAATGAAGTAGCATGGGGGAGGAAGAAACAGGAGGAGAATCAGAGGAGAATGGAGATGGGAATGGAATAAACTGCAACTAAAACCAACCAGCCTGGCCCTCATTCTTTCCTTTGCCTGTCCATCGCCATCGACCTCCCCAGGGTGGGGGAAGTGGCATGAGACTACGAACGTGGGCGGCGGGAGAGGCAGAGCCACGGCCACTGCTGCTGCTGTTTTTTTTTTGAGTTTACACACTGATGCTCACACTTCTAGAAAGTTCAGGCACCCTCAAATAGGGAGCTTATGGTGGGGGGAAGGATGAGGGTGATTGAAAGGAAGGGGAGTGTAGGTGGAGGGTCTGGAGCAGAGTTGGTGACTAAGACAGGTAACAGTCTGCACCAGAAACCTAACTGTCAGTCAACAAATAGTGGGATGTGATGGGGTGGTTGGTGTGTGAGGAGGAAGGAAGTTCAGATCACATAGGGACAGGGTTGGTAGCAGTATGCAGCAACTTTGTACATAATACTCAGTTGTAAGTACTTACTTAAACTAAGCACATTTAAAGGGGTTGGAGCATAGCACAGAGGGTAGGGCGTTGATGTTTACCTTGCATGCAGCCAATTCCCAGCATTCCATATGGTCCCCTGAGCACCACGAGGAGTAATTCCTGGGTGCATGAGCCAGGAGTCACCCCCTGTGCAACGCTGGGTGTGACCCAAAAAGAAAAAAAAAATCCCAGGCATTTAAAAATTTTAATTTACTTTTCTTATTTATTAACTTATGTTTTTGGCCACATCCAAGCAGTGCTCAGGCCTTACTTACTCCTGGTTCTGCACTCAGGTATCACTCCTGGTGGGCTCAGGTGACCCTATGGGGTGCTGGGTCCGTTGTCACCTGCAAGGAAAGCGCCTTACCTTGCTGTCCTGCTGTTCTACCGCTCCAGAACATTCTACACACACGTATATGTATATGTATATGTATATGTATATGTATATGTATATGTATATGTATATTCTAGAGGAAGAAAGTTAAGGAGCCAGAGAGATAGTACAAGGGGTAAGGCACTTGCCTTGCTCACAGCTGTCCCATTAGATCTCGGGCACCACATATGGTCCCCCAAGCACCAGCAGGAGTGAACCGGGTGCACAGAGTCAGAGGAAGTCCTCAACATCGCCGAGTGTGACCCCCCCCCCCCCCCCAAACAAACAAAAGAAAGAGAGAAGGAAGTTCCGGGGCCGGGAGGTTCACACAGAGTCTGGCAGTGAACCTTCTGGGACGTTTCCAGAGGTTTGTCCCTGGGGAGGTGCCTGCCTGGCTAAGGGATTGGGGACCCTACGGTGCACGGCAGCCCCCGTCGTCGCGGGCCAAAAGCGCTCCGGGGGGTCTCGGAACCAGACCGGAGGCAGGTCCTGGCTTCGGGGACACCGGGACTGACCTTGGCTGCGGGGTCATCCCGGGCGCAGGACAGAGCCCTCCGGGGCTCCCAGCCACTCCCCCGCGGCAGCAGGGGCGGGGAGGACCGGGACAGCTGGGTCAGGTGACGGACGCGGAAGGAGCAGGACTCGGGCAGCTGCGGGCAGTACTGGTGGTACCTGCAGCCATGCGTCCCCTTCTGCTGCCCGGGCTGGCGCTGCTGGTGATGCTGCTGCTGCTTCTGCTGCTGCTGCTGCCCGACGCCCGCGGCGCCGCCCGCTACGACCCCACCTGGGAGTCCCTGGACCGCCGCCCGCTGCCCGCTTGGTTCGACCAGGCCAAGTTCGGCATCTTCATCCACTGGGGCGTGTACTCCGTGCCCGGTTTTGGAAGCGAATGGTTCTGGTAAGCTCCCGCCCCCGGCTACCCCCTCCGTGCCCATCCCGGAGGATGGAGGGGAGGGAGGGTGTCCCCGGTGTCCCCAACCCTCATCTCCCCAGCCTCTCACCCGCCTTAGCTTCTCGGTGCTGGGGGCACTTGGGGCGGTGGGGGGGGGGGGGGCGTCAGTGTGCACGATGGTTGGTCTCCAGCGTGGACGGTTTCATCCCTGTCCCGGCGGGCTGCACGGGATCTGGCCACAGCGTCGGCCACGGGTGGTCGCGCTGGTACTGACCAGCCCCGAAGCTGGAAACCCAGAGGCGGGCCTGGAGGCACAGGTTCTTTCTTGCAGGTCCGTTTCCAGACCTGCCAGCCTGAAGTCACACCTCGGAGAAGGCTCTGTGAAGTCTTGGTTCAGCTCTGCACGCTTTTGGGCCCACGTTGCTACTGTGTGTGGCTCTAGGGGTTTTAAAGAAAGAAATAGAGGGGGCTGGAGCGATAACACAGCGGGTAGGGCGTTTGCCTTGCACGCGGCCGACCCGGGTTCAATTCCCAGCATCCCATATGGTTCCCTGAGCACCGCCAGGAATGATTCCTGAGTGCAGAGCCAGGACTGACCCCTGAGCATCAGCAGGTGTGACTCAAAAAGCAAAAAAAAAAAAAAAAAAATTTAAAAAAAGGAAGAAAGGAATAGAGTTCTAGAGTATTGCCCCTTCCCGAAGACCTAGTCGTTGATTGACTTTGGTCCGAAAGATGCACCCCAAAATTATTCTTTAGGTTTTTGACTTGGAAATTTTACTGAAAAATGGGCTTACAACTTGCAGCTGTTTCATTGTTACTGATTTTGCCATGAAATATATTTATCTACATATGCATAAAATAAGAAACCAGTGTATTTATTTAATCTACTTTTTACTGGTCACATTATGTGGTATATATCAGGTGGTCTCCAGCTGGCAAAAGCTTGTACTAAGATTTTCAGTTCTACAGTGGTGGGACCTGGGGGCGTGTTTTTTTTTTTTTTTTTTAAAACTAGGGCATTCTGTTATTTACTTTCAGTGCAATATTTAATCAGTTACAGGAGATATTCAGTGTCTTGTTATAGACGTTTGTTATGTGATTTTGTCCAACTTTAGGCTAAAGTTGTAGCACTGTAGAACTGTCCAGCTGTTATTCATTGATTTGCTCCAGCGGGCCCAGTAATGTCTCCATTGTGAGACTTGTTACTGTGTTTGGCATATCGAATACAACACAGGTAGCTTGCCAGGCTTTGCCATGAGGGAGAGATACTCCCTGTAGCTTGCCAGGCTCTCCAAGAGGGGCGGAGGAATCAAACTCGGGTCGACCGAGTTGGCCTCATGAAAGGCAAATGCCCTATCGCTGTGCTATCGCTAGGCTAAAGTTGTAAATAGCTAAAATTCTAATTGTTCTGAGCAGTTAGGCTGAACAACAGAAGATTATTAAATGCTTTCTTGGGATGGGGGATAGTATAGCACATAAGGCACTTACCTTACTTACCTTGCATGCAGCTGACCGGATTTGATCCTCAGTATCAGGGCCAGAAGTGATCCTTGACTACAGAGCCAAAGTAAGCCTTGAGCATCACCAAGTGTATTTATTTGTGCATTTTGCAAACCAAAAAACACAAATAAATAAAATGCTTTGTTGACTTAGGATATTTCAACAAAACCCATTATAATGGAAGAATACACACACACACACACACACACACACACACACACACACACACACACACCTTGGCACTCATGGTCACTCGGAAGTTCTGCCTCTAGCATCCCACATCTGCTTCTGATTTTCCTGCTACACTAATACAAAACAAAATGATATCTATTTCTGATATCTTAGAAATGCTTTAACCCTGTAGAAAATTCTTTTTTAAATTTTTTTATTTATTTATTTTTTCTATTTTTTGATGAATCGCTGTGAGGTACAGTTACAGACTTATAAACTTTCGTGCTTATGTTTCAGTCATACAGTGATCGAGTACTTGTCCCTCCATCAGTGCCCATTGAAAATTCTTAATCACTGTTTAAGAATTAAGGTTTCCTTTTGTGTTCGCTAACCTTTGGTGATCAGCCCAGTTTGATTCTCTGATTCTCAACGGTCACTGTCACTGTCACTGTCCTCCCATTGTTCATCAATTTGCTCGAGCAGGCCCAGTAACGTCTCCATTGGAGACTTTGTTGTTACTGTGTTTGGCATTTCAAATACGTCACGTGTAGCTTGCCAGGGTCTGCCGTGTGGACGAGATACTCTTGGTAGCTTGCCGGGCTCTCCGAGAGGGGCGGAGGACTCGAACTCGGGTCGGCCATGTTGGCTGCATGCAAGGCAAATGCCCTACTGCTGTGCTATTGCTCCAGCCCATTTAAACCTTTGGTGATCAGCCCAGTTTGATTCTCTGATTCTCAAAGGTAGGGATGAGTTTATCTCTGCTGTCCTTAATGACAGTGCAAATACAAATCAAAATGATGTAAAGTTTACAACAAGTTCCTCTTTTCTTCTGGTCTGAATCACTCTGAGCTGGAGAGTACAGCTTTTTTTTTCCCTTTTGTTTATGGGTCACACCCGGTGATGCAAAGGGGTTACTCCTGGCTTTGCACTCAGGTATTATCCCTGGCGGTGCTTAGGGGACCTTATGGGATGCTGGGAATTGAACCCTGGTCGGCCACGTGCAAGGCCAACACCCTACCTGCTGTGCTATCGATCTAGCCCAAGAGTACAGCTTTAAATTAAACTTAACTGGGAGAAAACCAAAAATTGTTATCTTTGTTCAACTTGCTTTTGTTGCTGGGTGAGAATTGCCTACAACAGACTTGTTTGTCAAATTAAAGAGCTTTTATTAGCCTGCAGGGCCTGAGCGCTAGGGTCTCAGGATAACAAAGAGCCCCTAGGGCCAAGTCCTGGGTAAATTTTAAACATTTCTTATCAAACTCTGCTTGCTACATTCATCAACTTTCTCAATAGCTAATGCTTGCAGACACCTTTACAGTGCAGTAGCTAGATGCTGGTTAGCCTTGGATGGTTAAAGGAATGTTTTTACTTGCCAGCTGAAAAGAGCCCTTGATAGCTACCTCGCCTGGACTTGGGTTTTCTCTGGGCAGCCTGTCCTATGTCCTTGGAGTGTCTCTCCCTGCTTTCCAGCTATCTCTTAGCAGCTGCTTTTCTGCTAACTTGACTTTCCTGTTCACTTTGGGGCACTGGCACCTCATCACACGTTTTCTTTTGTAGTTCATTTTTATCTTAATTATTTTAATTTTAATTTTTTTTTTTTTGGGCAACACCTGGCTGTGCTCAGCCTTACTCCTGACTCTGTGTGCAGGGATGACTCCTAATTCTCTGCTTAAAGATCATACCAGAAAGATAATGCAGTGGTTAAGGCACTTGCATGATTGGAGTTTAATTCCTGGCACCACATATGGTCCCCTGAGCCTCTCGAGGAGTGATCCCTGAGCACAGAGGCACGAGTAATTCCTGAGCACAGTCTTATTTAGTCAAAATAAACACAAAAAACATCTCTGTGGGTCAGTTAGGGTACTTTCACTTAAAGAGTATAGAAAGCAGGGTTGGAGCAATAGCAGAGCAAGTAGGGTGTTCTCCTTGCACGTGGCCGACCCGGGTTCGATTCCCAGCATCCCATATGGTCCCCTGAGCACCACCAGGAGTAATTCCTGAGTGCATGAGCCAGGAGTAACTCCTGTGCATTGCCGAGTGTGACCCCAAAAGCAAAAAAAAGAAAAAATGTATAGAAAGCTTCAATCACGTGTGTAATAATAGGGTCCTATTTTCATCCACAATGAGAAATCTAGAGGAAGTCGGCTTGTGGATGTTATTAAAGACACAGGATCTTTCTTATCCTCAGTCTATTGTCACGTGATGTTGCCCATCTATCCTATCTTCACAAACTCCTGCCCAAGAAGCAAGTAGGCTGTGTTTATAGGGAGGAAACCATTGCTAGAGTCTCTAAGATGACTTTTGTCCCCAGTGTTATTGGCCAGTATGGCTATACCATGGTTGAGATGTAAGCTAGAAAAGTGTTTATCTGATTTTAGGGCATCAAACCAGAATGCCTGTGATGTCATAGGGCTTTCAGTGAAGTCTTCCCATCAGGAAGAAGGACCTGACTTTCTCTGGGCAGAGTAACACTGATGGATGGCTTGGTGCATTCTGTAGAGATCGTGTTCTGAAAGGCGGGGTGAAGAAAAAAAGCAGAAGAGGAGTTAGAGATGGACTTGCGTCTATTTCTTGAGGATAATTACTGCTCAACTTATCTAAAATGTATAATTCTGCTTAATACAACTTTCCTCAAGTAGCTTTGTCCCAACTGTTTATGTTCAATGTAACATTTCTCAGAATGAGTGCATATGCGTTTTCTTTTGTAATTCATTTTTTTTCCCTTTTCGGTCACACCCGGCTATGCACAGGGCCTACTCCCAGGGAAAGAATTCTACCCTATTGTGACCACACCTATGTGTAAGCCCCAACCCCTCATGCTTTGTAATTTAACTAGACTGTAAGAGTGGGCTGGAGGATCAGAATCCAGACTCCAAAGCAAGAGGAGAAAGGGGAGCAGAATCAGAATCCAGACTCCAGAGAAGGAGGATGAAGGGGGATCGAGAAGGAGAATGAAGTAGCATGGGGGAGGAAGAAGCAGGAGGAGAATCAGAGGAGAATGGAGATGGGAATGGAATAAGCTGCAACTAAGACCAACCAGCCTGGCCCTTGTTCCTTCCTTCACCTGTCCTTCGCCATCGACCTCCCTGGGGTTGGGGGAAGTGGCGTGAGACTACCGAACGCGGGCAGTGGGAGAGACAGAGCCGCTGCCGCTGCTGTGTCTTTTTTGAGTTTACACACTCAGCTACTCAGGATCATAGTTCAAAGCTAGAGTTTATGGATGTGGGACTACTTGAACCCTGTGATGCTCAGAACCGCTTGGACTACTGCAGAAGTTCTTGGGAAACACCAGGGTCATATCTTGGTGGACCTCAGGGCTCCCTCAGTCTATATGGGGTCCCACACATGTAAACATGTAACCATGTCCTCTCTTTGGGTATCCATAAAGTTTCTCTAATTTAAAGGCAAAGTTGAGTTAATGGAGAACTGAGAAAGAAAGTTGGATAGTATTTGAGAAAGAGGAATTAGTCAAGGGAGCTTGGGCAATGCTTTCAAAGTGCTTTCATGCATGTTTTCATTGTTTCTGTTCCTCCCCTTAGGTGGTATTGGCAAAAGGAAAAGATTCCAAAGTTTGTGAACTTTATGAAAAACAATTATCCTCCTGATTTCAAATATGGAGATTTTGGACCACTATTTACAGCAAAATTTTTTGATGCAAGTCAATGGGCAGATCTTTTTCAGGCTTCTGGTGCCAAATATATTGTATTAACTTCCAAACATCATGAAGGTAAGTTGGTACAATTCTTGAAAGCCAGGTAATGGTTGTAATAGGTAAAGGTGGTCTGTTGGAAGAAGAAATAAAAGCAAGGCCATCAATTCTCATGTAGGGAGAGCCTTCTTAGGATCAACTCTTAGTGACTACGGGCATTTGCTTCTAAGTCAAGAAAAAACATGCTCCACCCAGTTGAGGGCCATTGTGTGTGTGAAAGATCAGGCCTATCATCATATGATAGAAAAAATAATGAATGATGTTCAAACCCCTTGTATTTTATTTAACAACATTTCCAATATTTGATTAAAGCCATTTGAAGTATATAATTGGAACTCTTTCCTTTCATTCCTCTTCTGTAATGCATTTTGGAAGGCACAAGGGGGGTTTATCTCTAATTTCTATAGTCTATGGATACAGCTAGCTGCATCTTTATAGTCAGTTCTCTGTCCAATGGTGGATAATTTGTTTATGATGAAAATGACCCAGAGTACCTACGTGGAGCTTCTGGGGTGCCCAGAGGCACCAAAGGCATTTGAAAGACATAAGGAAAAATAGAGATTATATTAACCAAGGTACTCTAGAGAAACAGAGCAAATAGGAAGTGTGATACTTAGGAAGATTTTTTTCTAAGAAATTGACCCTCACCATTATGGAGGCTGAGAAATCCAGATCCAGGAAAGCAGGTGGTCTAGGATGGCCTGAGAACCAGGCAGTTGATGGTGTAAATTGTAGAGTTTAAGGGCAGGGGGAGATTGCTGTCTCAGCCTGAAGACTGGCAGAGAGAAAGGATTCTTTATGACACAACCTTTTATCCTACTGCAAGATGAGGCCTCCACATTGGGGGAATAACAATCTGTTTGACTCTGGCCTACTTGTTTATATGTCAGTCTCAGGTTAGAAATGCCCTCATGTGCATGCCCAGAGCAGTTTTTAACCGAATACCTGGACACTCTATTACCTGGTCAAGCTGACATAGAAATGTAACCATCATTCATAATCCTACATTTTAATTGGATACATTCCAGTGTAAAATCATGTATCTGTAGAGGTCGGAGCAATAGTACAGCAGTTAGGGCTTTTGCCTTGCATGCCGCTGACCCAGGTTTGATCCTCGGCATCCCATATCTTTCCCTGAACACTGCTAGGAATAATTTCTGAATGCAAAGCCAGGAGTAACTCCTGAGCATTGCCGGGTGTGACACATCAGACAAAAGGAAAAAAAGTATATATAAAATGAAGGATTGCTGTTGTACCAACCATAGTTGACAATTCCTTTGCATGATCATCTTTGTCTTTTAATAAGAAACTTCTCTCTCTCTCTCTCTCTCTCTCTCTCTCTCTGTGTCTCTCTCTCTCTGGCCTCCCAAGCTTAGGAGTCCCAGCCACCCAAATTGTGATTCTTGGTCAGTGGGCCATGGGCCACCCAGAAGTGCTGGAGGCTCTTAGGGCCACCCCAGTGGTGTTCAGGGGGTCTCCAAGTCTGTACCTAGTGATGCTCAGGGAACCATATAGTGCCAAGTATATGCCCTAACCACTGAACTATCTCCTGGACCTTATAAGAAATTTTATTTAGGGGTTATAGCAATAGTACAGCAGGTAATGCATTTGCCATACATGCTGGGCTGACCCAGATTTGTTCTCAGGCATCCCATATGGCCCCCTGAACACCACCAGAAGTTATTCCTGAGTGCAGAGTCAGGAATTACTCTTGAGCAATGCCAGATATGCATCCCCCCCCTCAAAATAAAAAAAGGAAAGAAAAGAAAAATTTTGTTTAGTCTTCCCCATCCCCACCCCATTCCGCATCCCCAGGGAAGAGCAGGGAATTGGGAAGAATCCAAACCAAAAGCCTGCAATTACCTTAGTACTTTCTCCCTTCGGTCACATTGTAATCTTTTGAAGACTTTTTCTTATGAATGTTTCTCCTGCTGAGATGGATATTTATAAAGTGTATTTGCTTATGAACATGTTGGTTTCCTGCTGTCTAGGGACTTTTACAAGCTGTGTGGCATAAAGTATTATTAGACAGTGGGTTTATTTGAGGAACAAAGACGGCAACTGAATCATACTGTGAGGACAGACGATGGACCACATTTATAAATTTTCTAGGCCTCATGAAGTCAGATGTTCTTGTTGCCAATAACAAAGCTACACTGAGGGAGTATCATTGTGTTGCATTAGCATGGAAGATGAATGTGCTATGAGTGTACTGTGGTGCATCTGAGTGAGAGACCATGGGAGTCAAGGGCCACCTGTCACTGAGGCAGATCAAGTCAAACCCTTCGAAATAAGGTTCTAAATATTAACTCTGTTTTGAAGCTTTACACAAACACCTTTGGAATAAATGTGAACTGTTTTAAGAGCATCTATAAAATGAATCTAGAGTCAATCTTAGACTTGCCCTAATTTGTAGTTCACTAAAAATGGGTGTGAAAATCTTCAGAGTCTTTAAGATTCAGTGTAATGATGACAATGCACTTATGTTCCTGGGTGCTGACTAAAAACGTTGAATGTTTTTATGTGATTTTTATAGTATTTTGGGCTGCCCATAGCTTCCAGTATGTTGATAGAATTATACATGTATATATTTATATATGTTTATCCTGTTGCTTTATACATGGACTTTATCACAGAGCCTCATCCCCAACTCATATTATATAGAAACATCAGGCTCTAAATGCATATTCCTGAGAAATATGAATTTTTTCAAATGATTGTAATTTTTCTCATAATAGTAAATGGTCTCATCCATTTTGTTGGTAGGCAATTCACTTTCAGAAAGTTTCAAGAGTGCATTGACCCTTACACTTTAGAGTAGGAGAAGATTACAAATAGTGGGTATACTTAATTAATTTTGTTGGGAGTCCTTCCAAGCGTTGCTCAGATGAACTGGGTGCCAGCCACTCCTGGTGATACTTGGTCAGCCAGGCTATCAGTTCAATGCAAAGACCTGTAGATCCTCAGGCCCTGTAGTGACAGGGATCTTCAGGACCACCTCTAATGATGACCAAGAGGCCATGTGGTGTCAGGGACTTCTCTGTGTCATCTTGCATGTGCCCTAGTCTCTGTACTATCTTCCCAGCCTGGTGGTGCTCAGTGCTTCCTCCTGGTGGCGTCCAGGGGACCATATGTGGTGCACAGGATTGAATCCAGGTGGAACTTGTGCAAGGCAAACACCACCCCTCACCCCCCACCCCTGATGTACTGTTGCTCTGGCCCCAGTAGATATTTTTAAGGTACAAAGCTTCCGGGGAATAGTGTCCAGCCTCCTCAGTCTTGGTGAACCTGTTGATACTGGCACATACCACACTTGGCTGTGACTTAGTTAACACAAATTGCAGTGCAGAGTCAACATGTTAAATGAATGACAAGGCTAAAAGGTTTGCTCCATGTGAATCACCAGTGTCCTAGGATTTGTGATACTATGAAAGATGTAATCCTGGAAGCAGGAACATATTTTATTTTGTTTGTTTTTGGGTCACATCTGGTGGTATTCAGGGATTACTGCTGGTTCTGTGCTGAGAGATCACTTCTGGTGGGACTGGGGGGACCGTATATGATGTCAGAGATGGAACCGGGGTTGTCTGCATGCAAGGCAAGCCGCCACTTTTACCCACTGCACTATCCCTCAGGCCCAGAAAACATACTTTGACCTTTGGTTTAGAAGATGAATAAGAATTATCAGAGTGTTTTGTAGGTTCTTCAGTTTAAGTCACTGTCATCATTATTTAATGTGGTTGTTGCATAGTTAAGTCAGATGTTTCTGACTTAACTATGATTTGCAGCTGTTGGTGGCTGATTCTGCACCAAGCCCCATGAAACTGGTGGCTGTGATCAGGCAGGAACAGTGCAGACACAGGGATGCGTCTTAACGAGCATTCTAATATGGAAAAGTACAGGCACAATCTGACTTTTAAGGGGTTCCCTGAGAGTGACCTTTAAAAGCTCTAGTTCTACTTTATTTTACATTTTTTTTTTCTTTTAGAGCTATACCTCATGGTCCTCAGGGGCTGGCAGTGGCTCTGTGCTCAGAAGTGACTCCTGGCAGTGATCGGGGATTGGAGGTGGGGAGTCCAGATGTGTGCCAGGAATAGAACTGGGGTCTGTCACATGCAAGGCAAGTGGCAGACTTTTCACTGCCTGTATGATTTATCCATTCCTTATTTCTACTTTGTTAAAATTCACATTTTAGGGGCTGGGGAGATAAACAGAGGGCTGGAATGCATGATCTGTAGTTGGGAAATGTGGGTTTGATCCTGGGCAACACATGGGCCCCCCAAGCACTGAAAAACCAAAAAATAAATTCTCATTTATTTTGGTAAAAGCAGACTATGAAAAAATGCTGCTCAATAACAGTTTATAGACAGAATCGTTTATATGTACACTCTCATTCGGTTGGCGTTTGCTGTGGTGGAAATTTACTGGCAGAAAGCTGACAAGCTCATCGAGGTTTCTAATACACCGTTTCAGGCTTCACCTTGTGGGGTTCGGAACGTTCATGGAACTGGAACTCCGTTGATTTGGGACCAAAGAGGGACATCGTGAAGGAACTTGAGAATGCCATTCGGAACAGAACCGACCTGCACTTTGGACTCTACTATTCTCTTTTTGAATGGTTTCATCCACTCTTCCTCGACGATGCATCCAGTTCATTTCTCAAGCGGCAGTTCCCAGTGTCTAAGATGCAGCCTGAGCTTTACAAATTAGTGACCAAGTACCAGCCTGAGGTCCTGTGGGCAGATGGCGATGGCGACGCCCCAGATTCCTACTGGAACAGCACAGGCTTCTTAGCGTGGCTCTACAATGACAGGTGTGTGTGCCAGGACACTGCTGCAGTGACCTGCAGTGCTGTAAGGACAGGACTTGGTTTGTTTGCAGTCTGGAGAGAAATCTGAAATTGGCCCTGCCCAAGGGGGTCTGGGGGAGCCAGGGGACCCTGAAAGAGGCTGCATGCTGCCATTGGTAGTGGCCAGTTTTATAGGAAAGAAAACTTACACAGGAGTCTTTCTAAAAATATTTTTTAATGAATCACCGTGAGATACAGTTACAGATTTACAACTTTCATGATTACATTTCAGTCCTACAATGATCGAGTACCCATCCCTCCACCAGTGCCCATTCTCCACCACCAATGTTCCCATTATCCTTGGCGCCAACCCCTCCCCATTCTCTCCCTGCCCCCCACCCTCCGCCTCTGTGGCAGGCACATTCCCTTCTACTCTCTCTCTCCTTTGGGGTGTTATGGTTCTCAATATGGGTACTAAGTAGCCATCATGTTCAGTCCATAGTCTACTTTCAGCACACATCTTATCTTTGTTGTTGTTGTTTTTTGCTCTATTAGCCATTTATATGTCATTCGTTAATGAGCTCAAAACTTTTTAAAAATGTATTTATTGCATTTTATTTTTTTCCATTTTTTAAAAAATTGAATCACAGTGATATACACATTTACAAAGTTGTTCATGATTGGATTTCAGTCATATAATGTTCCAACACCCATCTCTCCTTTACCAGTGTACTTTCCCCACCACCAATGGTCCCAGTTCCTCTCCTGCCTCTATGACAGGTAGTTTTCTTCTCTGTCTCTGTCTCTGTCTCTCTCTGTCTCTTTCCTTTTGGGCCTCATGGTTTTCAGTACAGATAATGAAAGGTTATCAGGTACATCACTTTCCCTGTGCTCTTCACCCCACCCCGCACACTCTTGTGGCAAGCTTCCAACCACTGACCTGTCCTCCTGGCCCTTGTTTACCCTCACCTTGATTATTAGTCTCATATATATATTATATATATATATATATATATATATATATATATATCACTGTATCACTGTCAGCCCGTTAAACATCGTATTACTCAAGTGGGTGCCATTAATGTCTCTATTCCTTGCAGCCCTGAGATTTTAGCAGCCTCTTCTTACTTGTCTTTTCCCAACTATTGGAGGCTCTTTCAGGGTCAGGGAAATGAGACCTATTGTCGTTACTGTATTTGGCATATCAAATAAGCCACGGAGAGCTTTCCAGTCTCTGCCCATGCAGGTGGGATACTCTTGGTAGCTTGCCAGGCTCTCCGAGAGGCATGAATGGGTAGGAAGTCTCTTATAATGTGTCTTGTGGCCGCTTTGTGGTCCGGAAAGTGGCCTGGAGCATGGCGGTGGTTGTGAAGTGGAGGTTGGCTGCAGGGCTGGGTCCCTTGGGGTGGGGAGAGCTCTCACATGTTCCACATCCTGGCACAGAGTCCGGTGGCATGGTTCTGGGAGTCTTCTTTTATACTCCCATCTGGGAGGAGCATCCATGAGTTCTGGAGGGTGGCCGGTGAGGAGATTATCTGGTGCCGGCAGGGTGTGGTTTACAGGTATGATCCCTGAGTCACTGGGGACTGGGGGAAGCAGGCAGAGGATCTCTATTCTGATCCATTGAGTCCAGAATCCGAGGTCACAAAGTTTTGCATTATCTGGGTTCCATGGGACTTCATTCTTGAGTGAGGCTCAGCTTGAGCATCCGGAAAGTGGCCTGGAGCATGGCGATAGTTGGGCAGTGGAGGTTGGCTGCTTCGGCTGGGTCCCTTGGGATGGGGAGGGCTCTCACCCACACCACATCCAGAGTCGTAATCCTGTTGGCCCCCTGGTCTCTTCCCAGCCCCCCAGGCCTGGGTCTGTGGGTCAGTCTGGGCCTCGGGAGTGGCCCCCGTGGACACCCACAAATTAAGCTACCAGGAGTATCCCACAAATGAATGCAGTCATTCTAAATCTGTCCCTGTACTCCTTTCACTCGACATGATACTCTTCATGTCCATCCATTTATAGGCAAATTTCATAACTTTGTTTTTCCTAACTGCTACATAGTATTCCATTGTGTAGATGTACCATAGCTTCTTTAACCAGTCGTCTGATTGGCCACCTGAGCAATATTCTCTGCATCCACATGCCAAAATCCTGCCCCGCCTCCCATGAATTTTTTTTGGGGGGGGGTCGGGGACTGGGCCACACCAGTGTTGCTCAGGGATTACTCCTGGCCTTGCGCTCAGAAATTACATGATATTGTGGACATGCAATCAGAAAACCATGAAACTGAGGTTTGATCAAAGTCAAGGTAGTTTCCTCAGCACCAATGGAAGAAGAAATGCATCAGAATCTAAGGGTAGATAGCGTTTAACTGGGTTCAGTCTCCTATAACATCTGGGTGATTTCAGTAACGCCCTGCTTTCCTCAAGGCATATATTCCTTGAATATAGGACAGAAAGAAAATTCTCAGGACAGGAGGAGCCCCCCAAACATCTGCCCCAAATATGTGCCATTCTTGCTCAAAATAAGGAAGAATAACACAGCAACAACTTTGAAATGGTTGAAACTCATCAGTTTGAAGGATTGGACTAGATTCAAGACCATGGGAGACATTTAGTTTTTTGGGTTTCCAACTTTTCAGCTTCTGCTCTGGGGGGTCCCTACTCTGGCAATTGTGTTGATTCCCCACAAAGTTCCTCTAATTTCTTCTCTGGTATCCTTTTGCTCTTCAATGACTTTTGCCACCAAGTCCTTGTCTCCTTGTCTGCCTTCTCTCATTCATCAGCAGCATTCTCCCCGGTTCCTGTGCTTGCCCTCTTGTTTTCCAGCATGTTCCTGGTGGTGTCATTAGTGCCCAAAGTTCTGACAGAGCTTCTCTAGTAAACTTTAAACTGTATGGAGCCAATTTTTTTTTTTTGCTCTTTTTGGTTCACACCCAGCAATGCACAGGGGTTACTCCTGGCTCTGCACTCAGGAATTACTCCTGGCAGTGTTCAGGGGACCATATGGGATGCTGGGAATCAACCTGGGTTGGCTGCCTGCAAGGCAAATGCCCTATCTGCTGTACTATTGCTCCAGCCCTGGAGCCAATTAGAAGTACAAGAAAGAGCCTGGTGACTACTCACAATAGCTAGAATCTAGAAACAACCCAAGAACATATGAGTGGGTAAAGAAGCTATAGTATATCTACACTAAGCAGCTGTTAGGAAAAATGAAGTCATGAAATTGCTTATACATGGATAGACACGGAGAGTATCATGCTGAGTGAAATGAGTCAGAGGTAGATAAATGAGTCAGGAAGAGGAATGAACATAGAATAATTGCTCTCTCTCTCTCTATATATATATATATAGACACATATATATATATATGCAAAACCACAATATGTGAATAATACCCAAAGACAGTGGAAACAAGGGCAAGGGCCAGGGGACTAGTCCATGGTAGGAAACTTGTCATATAGGAGGAGGATGGGGAGTTGTTAGGACAGAGAAGGGACCACTGTGACAATGATAGTTGGAAGTGTTTTCTCTGTACAAGAACCGAGTGCTGAAAGGAGGTAAAGTGATATGTATGATACCCTTTCAGTAACAGTATTGCAAACCACAGTGCATAAAGGAAAATTAGGAGAGAGAGAGAGCGAGCGAGAGAGAGAGCGAGAAGAAAAGTGTCTGCCATAGAGGCAGGCTGGGGTGGAGGATGGGGGGCGTGGCAGGAGGGAAACTGGGAACATTGGTGGCAGGAAGTATTCACTGGTGAAGGGATGGGGATTGGAAATTGTATGACTGAAACTCAATCATGAAGAACTTTGTAGCTGTATACATCATGGTGATTCAATTAAAGAAAAACAGCTTGGTGCCACTTCTCAAAGTGAGGGTGTGTTTTTCCCATGTTCCTCGGGTCCACACAGGGCAGGAGTACAGATACTTAAAACTAAGCGTCCATGACTTTCATTCCCAGAGGAAAGACCAGAGGCCATTTCCTGCCATTTGTGAATCCCGACTGTCTCCTCTAAATTATTTATCATTATTTGATAACTAAGGCTAAGGAGATATTTCATGTCCCAGTGCATTCCATATTGGCAACAGTTGAATTTCTGAGTGCATTTTATTATTTCCACTTTGGACACAACTGTAAGAGAAAGAGAAAGGCTAGACTATAAGTATGAAGGATTCCTCCATCACAGGTGAGAAGCATTTCTGAGTGTAATTCACTTTGGACCCATTCACCATAAAGCCAGGAGGTGGATTGTGGCTTCTGATGAGAGCTGCGTGTGCGGGAGTAGGTACTTGCTTAGAGAGTGGCCGAGCTGGGTCAGCAGAGAGCCAGCCCAGGTCTACTTAACTTCACATCCAAAAACTTTTCATTCCATATGCTACAATTTATTATTCTGGAGTGGACTTCAGTTAGACTTTTATACTGACAGTGGGAAAGTAGTTTTATTCTATCCATAGCTGGAAGTAACAGTGTCAGAACATGTAAGGCTCAGATATGCATCAGTGAAGAGCCACGTGGACAAGTACTGTGTGATTTCCACCATCGTAAGAGTCCGGTTCTCTCCTTGGCTTGGTCCTGAATTACCCATTTTCTCCTCCTTTCCATTCTGGTATCCACTAAGTTATCTCCTTCTCCTTCTCCTTCTCCTTCTCCTTCTCCTTCTCCTTCTCCTTCTCCTTCTCCTTCTCCCATTCCTTCTTCTCTTTCACCTTCTCCCATTCCTTCTTCTCCTTCTCCTTCTCCCATTCCTTTTTCTTTCTCCTCCTTCTCCTACTCCTCTTCTTCCTCCTCCTTCCTTCTTCCTTCTCTTTCTCCTTCTCCTACTCCTCTTCTTCCTCTTCCTTCCTTTTCCTTCCTTCTCCTCCTCCTTCTTCCTCCTTCTTTCTTTTTCTTTCTTCTCCTCTTCATTCTCTCCTTGTTCTCCTTCTCTTCCCTCTCCTCCTCTCCTTTCTCCTTTCCCCCTCTCTCCTCCCTCCTTTCCCCCTCTCTCCTCCTCTCCCCGCCTCTCCTTTCTTCTCCTATCTCCCCTCTTCTCATCTTCTGTTCTTTCCCTCCCCTTTCTTGCTACTGTGGGGACCAGTTCACACACACTTCTGACTCTGGTACTTAACATTTTCCTTGTGATGCTCACTGGAAGCCAAGAATCAGGTTGCAGGTTAAGGTGCTTGCCAGGGGCTGCACTTACTGGCAGTGAGCCACATTCAGAGGTGTTCAGGACTTACACCTGGCTCTGCCCTCAGGGATCGCCCCTGGCAGGCTTGGGGGACCATATGATGTGCTGGGGATTGAACTGGGGATGGCTGTTGGCACATGTAATGGACCTGGAGGTTGAGTGTGAGTAACTTCCGTTTGTAAGCTCTATTTCTCTGGGTCTTCACTAATCAGTCTTAGGCATCCCAAATAATCCAGATTTCTTTTGGAAATAAAACATACCTTCTGTTTCAGCCCAGTTCGAGACACAGTCGTCACCAATGATCGTTGGGCAGCTGGTAGCATCTGTAAGCATGGCGGCTATTACACCTGCAGTGACCGTTACAACCCAGGACATCTTCTGCCACATAAATGGGAAAACTGTATGACAATAGACAAGTTTTCCTGGGGCTTTCGGAGGAATGCTGTCATCTCTGACTATCTCACAATTGAAGAACTGGTGAAGGTACAATAAAATAATCTTTAACCTTTACTGTAAAATTCTTAGGGGTCAGATGGACAGTTCAGGAGGTAAGATGCTAGCTTTGCATGTGGACAATCTGGGTTCTATCTCCCATATTGCATTAGGGCCCCTGAGCACAGCCAGGGGTCATCTGATCACACAGCCAGGAGCAGTTCCTGAGCACAAGTACAAGTTAGACCAAGACTGTCCCAACTTTCCTCCCCCAAACAGGTTCTTAAAAATGTTGATGTGCGAGAATTCTTCTTGTAACTCATATAGTACAAAGGTCTGTAGTCACAGGACATTGTCCTGTCCTTTATGTTTGTTCTAACACACAGGAACTACGTATGCATGTCTAACTACATAAATAAAAATATTAATACGAATTCATGTAGATGAGTGCAGTATTCACAATGGAATTTTAAAATCTAAAATCATATTATGTTTTCTAGCAACTTGTAGAAACAGTTTCATGTGGAGGAAACCTCTTGATGAATATTGGACCCACACCCGATGGTATCATATCTCCAGTTTTTGAGGAACGGTTGAGGCAAATGGGAAGTTGGCTCAAAGTCAATGGAGAAGCCATTTATGCAACCCAGACATGGAGATCCCAGAATGACAGCCTCACCCCGGATGTGTGGTAATTCATTCTTGTACCATTTACTATTTGAACAGAGGTTAAAAATTTTTTAATTTAATTTTATTTATCTATTTTTTTTATTCATCATAGTAAGGTACACACTTAGAAAGCTGTTCATGATTTGAATTTCAGTCAATACCTGTCCCATCACCAGTGCACATTTCCCACCTGCCACCAGTGTCTCCAGTTTCCCCCCTGCTCCCTGCTGCCTACCTCTGTGATAGGCACTCATCTCTGTCTGTCTGTCTGTCTGTCTCTCTCTCTCTCTCTGTCTGTCTCCTTTTGGGCCTTATGGTTTGCAATACAGGTACCGAAAGGTTATCAGGTATATCCCTTTACCTACATTCCATACTCAGTTCCCGTCCAAAATGATCATTTTTAACTCTTGTTGACATACTGGTCCCTTCTCTATTGGCCCCCAGACACTCTTGTGGCCACCTTCCGATAATTGACCAATCCTCAGTATGAGACAAATATCCAAGACCAAGGAAAACAAATAGCTTTTTAAGCTTTCACAGATCTGGCTGGAGGGCTAGATTAGATTTGCATGTGGGAGCCCTGGATTTCATCTGCATGGTCCCCAGAACACAGTACCAGCATTCCATTGGGGGGTGGCTTCCCTCCTCCAAAAGAAATTTCCAGAATGCCTACCTATTCAAAATACTTTCCAAACTTTATTTGCTCTAGAAGAAATGAGCATGTTCTCCTTTGGGGAAGGGCTCCCGAGCAGCTCTTCGAGGGCCTGGGGGGTGACCCCCGCTGATCCTGGGTCTGATACTTCGGTCTATTGCATATGCGAGGCATGTGCTCCAGGCCTTTCATCTGTCTCTCTTGCCTCCAAAAATTAGAATGTTTTTGAATGCTTACTGTTTCAGGCTGAGCTCAGATCATCTCTAGACACCCTCTAACTACATTTTAGTGAAATGTAGTCAGCTTTTAACAAAAACTATAAACAATGCAGAAAAAAGGGATTACTTCTGATTTACCTAGTTAAGTACATTTCATCTTTTTTTTTTCCCCCTGTGATGATGGGGATGCCGTCCAATTCTTCACCCAAGTGCCATATCACTGAGCCACAGCCCTGGCATCAATAAAGTCCACTTTGCCAGTGTTGCATCATGTCTAATTAGCAAGCAAGCAATGGCAGAGGACAGAGAAATCAGTCAAAATAGTAGCATTGTTTAGATTAAAAGTATTATAATTTCTTCATATTATTCTAACATAATCAAGCCTAAGTGAGTCCATATTGCTATCTTCTTTCAACTAGTATTTGTATTGGGGGGGTGTGGTTTATTTGGGGCTACACTTGACAGTGCTCAGGAGTCAGCAACATCTTAAGGCAAATGCTTTCACTTCTGTTCTATCTAGCTCTCTGGTTCTCTTTAAATAGTATTTTTTGGGGGGAGGGGGTGGGGGGACCACACTTAGTGGTGCTTGGGGCCTACTCCTGATTCTGTGCTCAGGGATCACTCCTGACAGAGCTCAAGGGACTATAGAACCCTGCAAGGCAAGTTCCTAGCCTGCTGTACTATTTCTCTGGTTCTTTTAACCAGTTGTTTGTTTTTAAGTCCTGCCTCAGGGTTTTCAAGTGTTTTATATCCCATTGAGTACCAAAATTAGACTTATAAATATATTGGTTTCTGATGTGGGAAGGTCTGTTTTCATAATAGTCCAGAGGTCTTTTTACTTTTTAAAAATCATCTGTCTTGAGACCAGAGAGATTGTACAGGGGTTAAGGCACTTGACTTGCACATGACTAGCTGTCTTTTAATCCCTGGCACTGCCTATATATAGTTTGCTAAACTACATCACTAGAAATTCCTGAACACAGAGCCAGGAGTGAGCCCTGTGCACTGTCGGATGTGGTCCCCAAACACAACCACCAATCACTATCAGCAAAAAAAAAAATCCAAGCAAAAATAAACAAAAACTCCCCAAACCAACCAACAGAAAGTCCCCCAACACTGTTTATGCCACGAGCTCCTAGGAAATGGGTTCTAGCAGCTCAGAATGGTTCCAGCAGTGAGCTTTTCTGGGTGAGGCAGGATGACACCTAACATCCATTCTCTTTGACTTCCTTTTTTCCTCTGATGATTTTCCTTCAGCACTCAGGAACTACTTCTGGTGGTGCTTGGGGGACCATATGGGATGCTGGGAATCGAACCTGGGTCATCCGAGTGCAAGGCAAATGCCCTACCCACTGTGCTATCGCTCCAGCCCCGGCCGAGCTGGGTTCGATTCCTCCGCCCCTCTCGGAGAGCCAGGCAAGCTACCGAGAGTATCTCGCCCCCACGGCAAAGCCTGGCAAGCTACCCATGTTGTATTCATATGCCAAACACAGTAACAATAAGTCTCAAAATGGAGATGTTACTGGGCCCGCTCAAGCAAATTGATGAATAACGGGAGGACAGATTTTTCCTTCATGCGTTTCAGGACACTCTGCTGACTCTCAGAGCATTCATTTTCCTGGCGAGTGTCTCGCCCTTATTTGTTTGCATCCACACCAAGAGCATGCTGGATTCTGGTCTTGGAAACGCTCCCAGTTTTGCCCTGGGAACCCCTGTGGCACATTCCTTTTGAACCCTGCTTATTCCCTTTATGTCCACCATATCATTTTACCTGTCAGTCTGTATGTATGTGGCCAAAGGAACAACTCTGTGTTTTCTAAAACGTCTAGGAAACATATAGCAGGTGTCTGCTCCTCTTTTCCCTTGTGTTGGTCATTTTGAAGATTTATTAGAAGATAACAGTTCTGAGGATGGGAAGCCTGGCCGAGCGGGGGCGAGGAGGGGAGATGGTGTTAACATATATAAATAAGAGTAATATAAGGGAGGCTCTAAAAATTCACCCGGTGTTGCCCACCAAGGTGAATACAACCTGGGCAGGTCGAAGTTAAAACATTAGACTGAATTTTTTGGGGGAACTGACTTGACTTGATTTAAAACAAATCATCAACTTTCTGACAGAAGGCAATCTAGACACCACCCCGTTTAGAATTTGGGGACACGCATGTGGGGAGAAATCCCAAAGAAAATGCAGCAGCAGGCATTTTCCAGAGGCTGGTTTATGAGATTTTGGAATTTGCTTCTCTGCTTCCATTTGACCGTGGGACGTCACTGCATCGAGCAGGATCCTGTTCACGTCTCTCAGTAAAGATAAAAGTCAAGATATCACTGTATCACTGTATCACTGTCATCCTATAGTTCATGGACTTACTCAAGTGGGCACCAGTAACATCTCCATTTGCCCCCCAGTCCTGAGATTTTAGCAGCCTCTCCTTACTCGTCTTTCTCAATGCTGCTGTATTAGAGGCTCATTCAGGGTCAGGGGAATGAGACCCGTTATTAATACTTTTTTTGGCATATTGAATATGCCATGGGGAGCTTGCCAGGCTTGGCCGTGAGAGTGGACTGCTGGGCCATCCGAGAAGCATGTATAACAGCCAAGATATGCTTTGGACTTTTGCTTGTCTCTAAGGAAAGATGAACTCGTGTAATGCTGCTACGAGGATGGACGTGGAGAATATCATACTGAGCATGAATTTAGGAGTGGGATAGATGCAGAATGATTTCTCTCATCTGTGGGATAGTCACTGTCACTGTCACTGTTTTCCCATTGTCATCGATTCACTCGAGCGGACAGCAGTTACGTCTCCATGGTGAGACTTGTTACTGTTTTTGGCATATCAAATACATCACGGGTATATTATATATTTTTTTAAAAAGCATAGTAGGGTAGTAGGGAAATTGGGTTGGAGTGATAGCACAGCAGGTAGGGTGTTTGCCTTGCATGCAGCCAACATGGCCGAGCTAGGTTCGATTCCTCTGCCCCTGTTGGAGAGCCCAGCAAGCTACCGAGAATATCTCACCCGCATGGCAAAGCCTGGCAAGCTACCTGTGACATATTCGATACGCCAAACACAGTAACAACAAGTCTCACGATGGAGACATTACTGGGCCCGCTTGAGCAAATCAATGAACAACAGGAGGACAGTAGGGAAATTACAATTGCCCCAAGGCAGCAGAAACTGAGAACTAATCTTTAGGGAGTATATCACTACAGAGGTCTTTAGGATGGAGCATATCACTAAAGTGGAAGGAAGTAGACCCTGGTGGAGGGTATGGGGTTGGAATGTTTAATACATGGAAACCTTGCCATTATCAATACCGCAAATCACGATGCCTAAAATAAAATTAAAAGAATGAAAGCCAAGATACTTACTAAGGCCTTTAAAGTCCTGTGTCTGTTCCTGCTGGATCCATATCCCCAGAAGCCCTGCTTGTCCTCCTCTCTGCAGAAGCCCTGTCTGCTTGGCTTCCCAGGATGGTGCCCCAGGCTGCCCTTCCTGGCTGGACCAGCTAGGTCACCAGGTCTCCGTTAAACTCTGGATTATCGCCCTCGATGAGTTGTTGCTCCTGTAACTACTCTTAACAGAATTCTGGTGATTTTCATATCGGTGTTCTCAGTCAAAATGCTATGGGGCATGCACTGAAATGTAAGGCGTGATTTTACTATCGCTATGTTTTTGTTTCCTGTCCCTCTCTCCTTGCAGAATTTTTTAAAAAATTTATTTATCGAATCACAGTGAGAACAGTTACAAAGCTTTCAGGTTTCAGTCTCACTCATACAATGATCAAACACCCATCCCTTCACCAGTTCATATTTTCCACCACCAAGAACCTCAATATACTCCCCATCCCACCCCTCCCCATGCCTATGAGGCAGATGATTTCCACTTAACTCTCTCTCTACTTTGATTATATTCATTATTTCGACAAAAGATGCACCATCATTATTTGGAATTTCCCCCCAACAATCAAACCTGCTGAAAAGGCATCATGAAATAATGTGTTTTCTATTGCTGATTATGAAGACTATATGATGTCGTGTGGCCGCTATTGCAGCAGTGCAATTTTGGATTTCTGATGTTTTACTAATTAAGTCTGGAGGGATTTCTGCCAATAGCCAGATAATTATGAGATTGGTTTCTGTGCGTCTGGTGCCATGGCAGTGCCAGAAAGCTACTTGTGGGAGACAACTCGTGGTCTCGGCTGGGTGAGAAGGACGTGCCGGTTCCACCCCCCTATCCCATGAAGCTGCAGTTGCCCCATCACTGCCAGCTCAAAACTAGCTGATGCGGTGGCCATCATGCCATGGGGGGGCGGGGGGGAAGGCAGAAGAGACAGATACCCTTTCCCTCCTGTGGGGGCACAGCGCCGTAGCTTACTGCATAGTCCATTCACATTTCTGCCAAAAACTGGTGGGTTCCGAATTAGGTTCCTGTGCCTCTGGGGCTATGGCCGTGCTGGAGAGCCACTTGTGGGGGTCAACTCTCAGCCTCGGCAGGGTGGAAAGGACATGCCAGTTCGCCGCCTACCCCCATCCCATGAGGCCACAGTTGCCCTGTCACCGCTGTCTCATACCTGACTGTCCAATAAGCTCTGAGGCAGTGGCCACCGTGCCACCAGGGGCGGCGGGGGGGGGGGGGGGGGGGGCGGGGGGAGGGAATCTCTTACAGAAATTTGTCCCCTCTCCTTTGCTGCTCTCTTCCCTTTCTTTGGTGCCCTGGCCTTACACATGGAAATGGAAGACAGAAGCTGTCCCACTGAGCTACACCCACCCCACCCCTCACCCCAGCATGCTGCTCATTGTTTTAGTCATACTTTAGGCCTGACTCTTACCAGTAACTGCATTTCTTGCATGATGTCATTCTGCAGTATTCTATTACTATCCTGCCACTATCTCTTAGATTTCAGCTCTCTCCACATAGCACTCAGCTTCTGAGGCATTTATGATCCACTGATCGTTCTCATCCTTGATTGTTTTCTGTCTCTTAGCCCTCTCAGTTCTTTGGTTCTTGCTCCGGGTCAGATTCTGTAATCCGTAAAAGTTCCCATCAATTGGGGATGTTTGCTCCATTGTCCCTCCATTATCCATCCCTGTCTTGGCTTTGATTAAAATTTCAACTGTAATTAAATTTAGTTCTATCCTCCCGGCTCTCTCTCTCTCTCTCTCTCTCTCTCTCTCTCTCTCTCTCTCAGTCCCAGGTTGGCATCATTTGCATAAAGAGGCTCCTTGCTGAGGGTAATGTGATCCCTTGTTAAAATGGCTCAATCCTGCTGATCAAAACCTTCACATTTGCTGCCAGTGGCCACCTCCCTCCCTCTGGTGTGAGCTCAGAACAGGAAATACGCATCCTTGTTTCCTGTTGCTTCTCTTACATGGTGCACAGTGCTCAGCACAGCACTGTCCCAGACCTTTGAGTGTAGGAGCATAAGAAACTGAAGCAGCAGGTGGAAAACCATCTGCTCTTGTATCCTCCCCTGGAGCTCACGTTCCTCCTGCCTATTTCCAAGCTACCTGAAAAGGGGCAGTTGAAGGACAGTCCTTGTTCCAAAAAGTCCTTGTTTCACGAATTTCCCTTTCAGTATTGGTAACTGGGTGGAAGGAATAGTGGGGCTTTGCAGGCTACCATGGGGCTATTTTCCCTTTCCTCTAGCAGTGAGGACATTGATCAGTACTGACTAAGATGGGAGAACCTCTATTAAGTTTTACCAAACTTAACCCATGATGAGAAACATCACTGTGATTCCTACCTTTGACCAGGTACACATCCAAACCTCAAGAAAAATTGGTCTACGCCATGTTTCTAAATTGGCCTGTATCAGGAAAACTGTCTCTTGGAGAACCCAAAGCTACTGAGGGGGCAACAGAGGTAAGAGGAATTTTATTTTTTATTATTATTTTTTTGTTTATTTAATTTTGGGCCTCATAGGCAAAACTTAAGGAGTTGGGGACCACTCCCAGTGATATCCCATCAACTGGGCAGGTGGCTCAGGAGTGAGGGCCATGATGTGGTGTTGCTCAGGCCACAATGCCACATCTGGTGATTTTCCAGAGCCCACCTGGTACCGGAGATGGAATCTGGGTTGGCCACAAGAGTGTCCTGTGTGCCCTGACTCCTGGACTCTCTTCCTTTGAAATTGTTTTCTTTGAAATTGTTGGTATTTTCTTCGAAATTGTTGGTAGATGATCCTGACTAAAAACACAATTTTTGAAAGGAAAAATTAAAAAAATGTTTAAATATGCATTTCCTCTTGTATATTTATGACAATTTTAAAATAAGTTTCATTATGGTGGTAGAGTGATCGAACAGCAGGTAGGGTGCTTGCCTTGCATACGGCCAACCTGGGTTCAATATCCCTGGCACCACATTCTGTCCTTAGAACCCCACTAGGAGTGATCCCTGAGCACTTCTGGGTATGGTCCAGAACAAAAACGTTTCATCTTGGCAATATTTGCCCAAACTGTTTGGCAATTTATCTCCTAGAGAACTAAATTCTTACACCAAAGCTACACAAGTTTCTGGCATGTGAAGGTAAGCTGATGTTCTTCATCCTAATGAGGGACATTAAGCATCCCATTAAATGTTGAGGTTGCCTACACTTGAGTGATTTTATCCATCCAATTGGAATTCAGATTATTTTCAGTAGCCATCCCAGAACACATCTGAATGAAAACAAGATATCATGGACCTGTTATTTTATATTCCTAACAAGTCTTAGGTAAAGCAAAGAATAATCTAGCAGTTGTAGCAATCAGGCCTGGTGTGCTGGTGTGAGTCTTCTTAGTATATTTTATAGTGGCTTCTTTAAGACATTGACTATATATAGTCATTGACTATATATATATATATATAGCTATCCACATTATCAGAGTATAGGAGTGGCCACTATATATATATATATATATATATATATATATATATATATATATAGTCAATGTCTTAAAGAAGCCATTATATATATGCTTTTATATATATATGTATATATATGCTTTTCCTTTTTCTTTCTTCTTTTCTTTTTGGCTTTTTGGGCCACACTTGGCAGTGCTCAGAGCTTACTTCTGACTCTGCACTCAAGAATCACTCCTGGTGGGAGAATCATATGGGATGTTTGGGATCAAATCTGAGTGAGCTACATGCAAGGCAAGCACCCTACTCACTGTACTTTTGCCCCAGCTCATTTCTGCTTTTGGCATTCCTGTTCTAACACTTAAGGTTGATCAGGAAGATAAGACTATGGTGTTCAAATCTCCTACTTAATTATAGCTTAATGCCTTGGATATGACATTTTGTCTACATTTTCTCTGGCCCCTATCGATACTGTGATGGGAAATTCATGGGTTTTGCTTTCGTACTGCTCTAGTGTTCTGGTTCAAGATTTCCCTAGATATGTAGGTAACTACATATATTTAAATGGACTTGGTATAAGACGAAAGAGTTACAGTAGCTATTGATCATGCTTCTATATTTGTTATTGGTGGAGGTTGTTGGAAATTCAGGGGAGAAAGAGCTTCTGCAGAGAGAGTGAACCTCTTACCAAACATGTCTGAGGAGAACTGAGCAGGCATTCATTGAACAGATTGATTCCAGAGTCGCCGTCCCTGCTTTTTAGCATTTGCCTGACCCTGACACTATTCAGGCTTTACAATTCTCCTTCCCAGCTCCTGCACACTTTAAGAGTTTCCTGCCTCAGAGCAGCAGAGGATGTACGCACTTATTTAGACTAAGGGTTAAAACAGCTTGTGAACCTCTAAATCCAACACTGTCCAACACTATCCTCCCGCTGTTCATTGATTTGCTCGAGTGGGCACCAGTAATGTCTCACAACAAATTGTGAGACTTGTTGTTACTGTTGTTTGGCATAAGGAATACATCATGGATAGCTTGCCAGGCTTTGCCGTGTGGGTGAGATACTTTCAGTAGATACTCCCCGAGAGGGGTGGAGAAATTGAACCTGGGTCGTCCACGTGCAAGGCAAACGCCCTACCCGCTGTGCTATCACTATAGTGCTTTTTTAGAAATCTCAGGCAAGTGGGTCAATGAGAGATACACTTGAAAAACATATATTTTTTTTTGTATTTTCAATTACAGGTGAAACTACTGGGACACGGACAGCCTCTTCCCTGGACACCTTTGAAGCTAGGTGGCATTGTGGTAGAGCTGCCACGGCTCACCGTTGAAGAACTGCCTTGTAAATGGGGATGGGCCCTGGTACTAAAGAATGTGGGCTGATTTGTAGTGGAGTGGACTGGACTGTGACGTAAACATAAAATTGCTTCAGAAAAGTACAGTAGCTATTTTGGCAGTCCAGCCTTTCTTCCTTGTATTCGTCAATCAATTCACCTCAAACCATCCCCCTCCTGCCCCCACCCCCCAGTTACCCATGAAATGATCCATTTTGAACTCTCTGGTACATTTTGTCATGGAAGCTTCTTCATTTGGGGCATATTTCCAGAGAAATTTGGACGCAAGAATTTTGGAAACGTAGCTAGGAGATGGCAGTATTAAGGACTAAAATGTGCTTCTTGCCAAACTCATATGTTGAAGTCTTAACCCCCAAGGGGACTGGTTTTGGATTAATAGCTCATAGAGTCCCATATGCAATGAATTGTAAGGGTGAGGCTCTTACGTGACAGGACATGACTCCCTTGGAAAGGAAGCCATCGAGGAGAAGGAAGCCATAGAGAGCTAGTACAGCAGGTAGGGCACTTGCCCTGCATGTAGCCCACCAAGTTTAGATCCCTGGCACACTTCATGGTCCTCTGATCCCTGCCAGGAGTGATCCCTGAGTGCAAGAGTAAGCCCTGAGCACTGCCACCTGTGGCATACAAGACAAGACAGCAAAACCCAAAAGTCAGCAAACAAACAAACAAACAAAAAAAAAAACAACCAACCAAACAAAAATTACTGTTTAAGGCACCTACTTTGCTAGCAGCCCTAGCAGATGGATATGAGTGCTAAGCATGTAATTCATTTCACCAGACTTCAAATGCTTCTAAGGACTTGTCTTTTTATTGGAAATGGTGCCAGTGCTTTAGAGGGGAGGGGGTAGACTGTGCTCTAGCACTGAACTGCATTTCTGCTCTACCCCATTTACTTTTTCACTCTTGGGAATAAATTTATATTTAAAAATATACAGAAAAGCTGACAGGTAAAATCACGGTTCAGATCATTACTATTTTAGTATCTATTTCAGGTTTTTTTTCCTTTTTTTTGGTAGTGAAAGGGCTGTGGGATTTGGGTTACAGATCTAATTTTTTTGTAGAGGGGCTAACTGAGGTTTTAAAAAATTATTATTTTGCTGTTTTGGACCACACCTGGCAGTGCTCAGGGGTCACTCCTGAGTTTGCATCCAGGAATTACTACTGATGGTGCTCTGGGATGCTAGGGATAGAACCCAAGTTGGCTGCGTGCAAGACAAGTGCCCTCCCTGCTGCACTACTGCTCAAGCCCCCTGTAGCTGTGCTAATAAATAATCATTCTTACTGTGTTTTCTTTGAAGTGAATCACTGTATCACTGTCATCCCATTGTTCATCGATTTCCTCGAGCAGGCACCAGTAATGTCTCCATTTGCTCTAGTTCTGAGATTTTAGCAAGTGCCACACTGGAGGCTCTTTCAGGGTCTGGAGAATGAGACCCATCATCGTTACTGGGGTTTGGCATGTCGAATACACCACAGGGAGCTTGCCAGACTCTGCCGTGTGGGCAGGATACTCTCGGTAGCCCGCTGGGTTATCCGAGAGCGAGAACTATACAATAGTGAGTCCCCAGAGCTTCCAGGAGCTTAGTTTTATAGTCTCTGGGTCTTGGCTGTGATGGGATTACACGGCACTGGGGGCAGTTTGTGGGTGTAACTGCTCAGCTACTGGAAGATGGGGGATATGGGTGGAGGAGGCCCAGTCCCAATCTGAGCAGCCTTGGAGATCTCAGCCCCAGGTCCCGCACACCTGGGTTCCTCTGCCGGTTCCTTCATGCGTGAGGCTCGTCCAAGCATGTGGAGAGTGGTTTTAAGCATGGATGTGGCTGGTTCCTGAGGTCTTCAGCTGCCGGAGCTCTACTCGGGGAAGGGAGGGAAACTCAACCCGCCCCCCTCCAAGGGGCTTTGGTGAGGAGAGCCAGGCGTGGGGGCAGGAGACTCTGCGTTGTTCTCTTCTGGGAGCTTGAAGTGACTCAGGCATGAGAAAAATGATTTTTAAGAAGACTATGAAAAAGATGCCAAATTCAAATTTAATGTAGATCGTGGATAAACATCAAATATACTACAATTACATCTCATAACAAGGATTAAAAAATACACCCAGGGTGAGGGAGATAGTTTACAGTACTGGAGCACATGCTTAGTATGTGAGAGGCCCTGGTTCAAATCCTGACACCACATGGTTCCTGAGCACTGCTGGGAACAACCCCCAAATACTGAACCAGGAGTAGTCCCTGAGTACTGCTGGGTGAGGCCCCATGCCCGTCTCTAAATATAACATGATATTCATATTGTGGTGTGGAGAGCAACTATTATTGTAAGGACAGACAGAAATAAATTAAAAATCAGAATTCTTCATTACTTTTTAAGCCAATAGTTTGTATTTCCTACCTAATTATTTTCCTAGAGTAGGGGCAAACTTGTCAGCTTTTCAGTTACTTTCAATTCAATTTTAATTTTTTGTGTATGTGTTTTGAGCTATACTCCAAAATAAAACACTACAACCACATATGGGGGGTCTAGATGTGGTTCTGGGGATTGAACCAGTTTGGCTGCAAGGAAATGCCAGCCCTTCAGCTTCTATTTAATAACCAGGGAGCTATTAAAAGATAAATCAGATATTAAATTAACCTAGACACTGATATTATTTTGAACATGGTTATCACTGTTATGAATCCATTTCATTAGTGTTTTTTTTTTTTTGAGTGCCATAAAAACAACACAATTGCTCTAAAGGGTCAGGCTAGTCACACAAATATGAATTAAGACGAGATATTTTTGTTTACTGTTTATTTTCATTTTGTAAGTAAAAGACCTGGTAAAAATAATTCTGCCTTAATCCAAATAAAGGACCATACTAACATTATATATGTATTATATATATATATATATATATATATATATATTTGCACACACATAGTAACAAATTTATTTTTGAAGGAGAAAAGTATTTGTGTTAAGTAATTTCTGTTTAGCCAATTCACTAGATCAAGTGATGCTCTTTCTTTGGAAGTAGTCATAGACCTGGAGTAAGTGGCTGGCTTTCAGATTTTCAGGTTTCTATATGGCATACTCCAAATTTTAAATTTTACTCCCTAGGGTTAATTGGATCTTATCATCCGACATCTTACCATTTCATACCTACTTTGGACAAACTGGCAGGCTACTGAATGTAACCTGCCCACAAGGCAGAGTCTGGCAAACTCCCCGTGGTATACCCAATATGCCAAATACCAGTAACAATGATGGGTCTCATTCTCCTAACCCTGAAAGAGCCTTGAATATGGCACTTAAAAAAAAAATCTCAGGGCTAGGACGAAGGAGACGTTACTGGGGCCTGCTCGAGGCAATCGACGAACAACAGGATGGTCGTGATCGTGGGTTAATTGAGTTTCCTACTGTTGTGGATTCAATAGTATTCCCTAACCATGGAAGCCCATTCAGCTGTGTGATATTTCTTGGAAATAAATTTTTTGTGCTATAATGTAGTTAAATTTGAGTAGGTCACACTAGATGGTGTGGGTCCAGAATGAGAGGTCTTAGCAGGGACATGAGGAAGAGAACCATAACAGACAAGCAAACCACAGAGGCTCCCAGAGGATTCAGGAGTGGGGAAGGTTCTTCCCCAGGGCTCTCAGGGGAGCCAGGCCCTGTAGATGCCTTGATTTTAGATTTCTAAGTACCAGAATGGTATTATTTCAGTTCTTTAAAGACACTCTCAATTAGTGACAATTTATTATGTTTTGGAACCTAAGACATTGACAACAAACTGATTATACTAGCTGAACTTTAAAAATAGGTTCAAACTGATGATAGGAGTGTGAGAAGATTTTGTGAAAGCCAAATTGAATTTTTTGGAAAGGTAAAGGTAAAGGTAAAGGCCCTCCCGTTGATCGTCGATTTGCTCGAGCGGGCCCAGTAACGTCTCCATTGGAGACTTTGTTGTTACTGTGTCTGGCATATCGAATACTCTCGGTAGCTTGCCGGGCTCTCCGAGAGGGGCGGAGGAATCGAACTCGGGTCGGCCATGTTGGCCGCTTGTAAGGCGAACGCCCTACCCGCTGTGCTATTAGTAAAATATGCATTAAGATATACATGTATATTCTCTAATTATTCTTCCTGTATAAGCCACAGGCATTACATTACATAGATGTGAAGTAGAGATACGGAATTTTTACAGGCTTTTACTATATCTACCCTCAGTTCTCTTAGAATACTATATATACATATATAGTGATATGTATATGTCTCATATATGTAAATATACATATACTCAATCATTCAGAACACTATATATACATATAGTGATATTCACAGTGATATACAGTGATATATACGTATCTATATAGTGTTCTAAGAGAGTGGGGCTAAATATGGTAAAAGTCTATAAACATTTTATAGTTCTGGTTCACAACTATGTAATGTATTACTGTGTGGTTTGCACAGGAAAAACAAAAAATACCTAAAGGGGACCTATACTGGGAAAATAGGAAAAAACCCATATATATGTGTGTGTGTGTGTATAGTGTATGTATATGTAAATATAAATACACACACACACATACACATACATGTTGAAACTGCAGGAAGAGGGTCTGCTCTTCAAGCCCATACTCTCCCTTGAATATGCATTTCGCGTGTCTCTATGTCCCTTTACTTGTGGCTTTTTCCAGTTTGGAGAAGCCCGTGTTCTCTTGAACATGTACTTCCTCTCTTTCTCTTCCCTGACATCTATGTAGGTTTCACGGAATAAAAACTACCTTGCTTCACAATAAAAACAAAAACAAAGCAACACCTACAACAAAACTGCTGGAAGAGGTACATCGTCTATTATACAGATATTCACTAATTCCCCAAACTGTAGTTTCTCTGATACCCTCTTAGAAATGACACCTGTGTGGTTTATATCCTGTGTGATTTTGAAATGCAGCCCCCCTCACTCCCCTTCCCATGTTTATGTCTAGTTTTGTTGGCACTTATCTGTGTTTTGAGCCTCTCGTGGCTCTGTGCTGGGAGCCCCGCGATACCCAAGCCTCTCACAGCCAACCATGGACAGCCCACTAAGCTATCTTTTCTGGCCATCATGTTTATTTAAAAACATTCTAGAAACCGAATCCTTGGCACTTGGGGTTGGAGTTAACCCAACTTTATTTTTTAGTTGTGGGAGCACACCTGATGGTGTTCAGGGCTTACTCCTGGTTTTACATTCATGGATCCCTCCTAGTGCTTTGGGAACCATATGGGATACTGGGGATGGAATCCAGGTTGGCTGCGTAAGGAAAATGCTCTACCGGCTGTACTATCAACCTGCACCCCCTCCCCCCGCCCATTTTTAAGTTTTGGGCCATCCCTGAAAATGCACAGGGAACCATGTGGGGTGTCAGGAATTGAACCCAGGTCAGCCAAGTGCAAGGGAAGCACTTAACCTCTGCACTCTCTTTATGGCCCTTTTATTGTTATGTTGGATGGAAATAAAATGTTTGTAGAAATATTCTGATATTATTTTAAAAGAAATCTAAGATCTTGATGATACATAATTATGTTATTACTGCTATTATTCTTATAAATACAAAAACTATAAGGATGATGCCTCTTTCCCAAGAAAAAACTATTTTTTTTAAGCAAACAAGTAAAACAAAACATCGATTCTATTTCTAGTTGAAGCTAGCAATGTCTCCTGGAGGGCTGGAGAAGTAGAAGTGCAGGTAGGGCACCTGCCCTGCACACTGCGAATTGAGTTCAGCCCCTGTCACCCCATATGTTCCCAACCCCTCCAGTCCCACCAGGAGTGACCCTGAGCATAGTCAGGAGTAAGCCCTGGACACTGCCAGTGAGGCTCCCCCAAACAAACAAAATACCAAAAACTAGCAATCGCTCCTTGAATAACATCAGAAGTGTTATAGAACAAATAAAATAATAGCTGTGAAGAATGAACTCTGCAAAACATATTTTACCAAAATACTTTATTGTAATAAGATAGTCACTGTGCTCAAAATCAATACAAAGTTATTAATATTATTTACAAATGAACCCATGTAATAATAGCTGTGAATAAACAGCATCAACACAATTTTAGCCTCTAAATCAACTTTCAAGGATAATCATAGTAAAAAAAAAAATTGCTGATCATGGTTTGTTAAATTCATTGATTTACATAAAATTAAAAGTCTGTAATCAATGTTTATTAAAGAAAAATAACTTACTCCTTTGAAGAGTAACTGGAGAAAAGCCTGATTCACTTCTGTATACCACAGGTTCAATAAATTTTATGATTAAATAGAATATATTCCAAATATTACACCTTTCCCAAACACATTTTTCCTCAGTATTAATATCAAAGTGCATTGCATTTCATATTATATAAAAAAGTATCTACATTAGGTTTTAGTCAGCTCAGAACTATTACCCGTGGTATAACAAATTTAATTCAGATATATGCACTGTGTAAACTCAAATATGCCCACAAAAACAAGTTCTATTGGAGACTTTAAAAAAATATCTTAAGATGCCAGTAAACCTACTTTATTATGAAATGAATGCTTTGATTAAGAATATATTTTATTAGGCATTTCCATAATGATCATTACCCTATATGTAGTTGATTTATTCACCACTTTTTTTTAAGCGAATTATAGTTTTTCTTGAAAAAAAAGATCATTTCTCCAGTTGCTGAGGAGTGCTGAAAGCTTCATATACATTAGCAGCAAAGTCTTTCACTTGTTCCATCATCAACAGATCCTAGTAAAGATGACAATAAAACACCAGTTTATTTAAAAAATACAATTTGAATTAATGTATGTAATCAAGCAATGACTTTAGCTTGAAGTTTTATGGTAACAAGCTAAAGCAGAAAACCATTCAATAGAAGAAATGATTTTTCCTATAGGAGATACTTGTTAAATTTCATCACGGGTCTGAGTAATCAAGCGCAAATGTGAAAAGATGACCCGAAAAGAGTCTTTACTGGGTTTGCATATTTGGGAAGTAATAGATAAATATCTGTTGAAGTAATGACACAAGTTTAAAGGTAGTTTTGCCAGAAGCTGACATTAATATGGTTGAGATCTATTGCTTTCTAGAAGATCTACAATAGAATACACGGGGCTGGAGTGATAGGACAGTGGGTAGGGCATTTGCCTTGCACACGGCCGACCAGGGTTCAGCTCGTCTTCCCATCTGGTCCCCCAAGCACCGCCAGGAGTAATTCCTGAGTGCAGAGCCAAGATTAACCTCTGATCAATGGGTGTAACCCAAAAATGCAAAAAAAAAGAAAATAAAGAAAATAAAATTTCAAAACCCCCTAAAATAAAAACATATGTCATATATATGTAGTATACATACACACACGTAGTATGTTACACATATACACACATATGTATATAACACACATGTCAATCACATAAGTTGCAACAAGTTTCTAAGGATTTATGAGTATAAGGATAAAACAAAATAACTAATTAATAAAGTTAAAATGTTTACAGCTCAGTGTTTCCTTCAGTCACAAATGTAAGCAGCAAACTGCAACAGTTTTGGTAGAATCTGGAATTTCACCAGAATCTTCCATCATTAGGAAAGCGGACATTTTCATATGACAGTTGTGGAAGTTAACCAGTTGTTATTATATATTATTTAATGCAGGGGCAGGGGCAAAGAAGTATTATCTCTACACTGTAAATTTAATTTCAAAAACTATTGTGAAAACCATGGTTTCTTTAAGACAATTTCTTGGTAATACCTATCAGCTAGTCAGCCCATCTGTTTTTCTGAGGAGCAGCTTTTCCAGTGATGCAGGTTCAAATAATGCAGAAAACGGCTGCCTGGGAGGAACAGCCCAGACACCTCTCAGAATCTGCAGGCACTAGCTAACCTAGGAAGGGAATCTATGATTCAAAACTCTTCCTAACAGCTGGGGTGATACCACTTATATGTGGAAATGGATAAGGGAATGCAATGTTTTAAAGGGAAGCTGCCTAGATCACCCTTAGCCCCAGAATACAGGGAGGAGAAAGCAACTGAGTGGAGGGGAGAGGGAGAAGAAACACATGAGAAGCAGTGGGGGAGGGCAGGAATCAAGGGGATTCAGGTACACTGGTGGTGTTCAGGAATGACGGAGCTTGATGTCTAAACCCCAGAGTCAACAACACTGAAATCCTGAGACCCAGACTGTAACAACTGAACTTAAGACGGTGTCCGTCAAGAGAGCAGTATTGGGGGATATGGGAAGGAACCCAGGAACGTAGTGGGAGGGAAGTCGATGGTGGGACTTACTGGTGGTAGGACTGGTAATGTAACATTTTATGTCTAAAACTTGAGACAGCTCAAAGGGCCAGGGAATCTATTTCACACGTGGGAGCCTCACTCAGGTTGGGTTCCTGGAGCCCTGCTGAGAACAACTCCTGAGCACTGGGTAGGAAACCAAACACCACCTGATGTAGCTATGGAATTACAAAAAATTGTTTTTATTGGAAAGGAATGTGAAGATGAATACCCCTTATGGATCTAGGCCAAGATCCTGGGTGATCTACATTGAATGCATGAGAAATTTTAATGGGAAATAGTTTTGCTTATAAATGGAATGAAGTTTTTGGCAGGTGTGGTGGTGGTGAATATTTATGCCTGATATTCTAGAAGGAAGTTGACAGCAAAGCAGGGAGTCAGTGCTATAGTCACATGTAAAAACCTTTTTTGAGAAAGCTTTTCTGAATTCTATTCCAGATAAGGCTAGAATGAAAGAATTTCAATCTTTCAAATGCTTCCTAGACTAATCCAATGCTTTGCCGAATCAGGGAACCAATGAAAAATGTATTCTGGGGGCAATAGCTGGCAGTGTTGGGATGGTGGTGGTGGTGGTGGTGGTATGGTATTGGGGATCAAATTCAAAGACTTCACATATGTGTAGTCTACCACTTGAGTCACTTCTCTGAGCCTGGGGAGCTACTCTTCAAAATGGATGAATAATGACATCACATTGTGAAAGGAACATCTTTACATTTGGGTTTATACCTAAACTGAATGGTCAGATGTTCACAGTCAAGGACAGACAATGGGATCTCAGGTTCGGATTGATCAGAAACCTAATCAGAAAGAAGGCAAATAAGCTATGGCAATATAGCTACAAGAAGGATGACTAGAACCATATATGTACGAATCCTGTAAAAAAACTTGTATTAAGTATATCTGTACTTTGTAATCAGGAAAATGTCAACTTCAGTCTGTCACAATGATTCTTTACAACTGTGTTCTAGCTTGTAGTTTATGAATCTTTGATAGAATGGTTAGGCTTTGAAACAGAGAACTATAGCACTGCTGGTACGTCCTGGCTTTGAGAGTATGTGTGCTATGTGTGGTGAAGGGTGTCCATGCTTCTAAGCACATCTGACCAAGTGCTTAAGAAGATCTTTCACCCAACTAATTCTGAATTAAATCAGAGGATATATGAATTGATGATTTTTGTTTTTGATGTGTTACAATCATTTAGCTTTAAGTTTCTTATCATGCTGCAGTATATTACAATCCTTTGAGGCAAAGTATCCACCTTCCTAAGCAAGATGAGACTTTTGTGTAACCATCATTCACTTGATGACTTTTCTTACTGGAAGGTTTACCCTTCACCTCCACTCGAAATTCAAGTTTCTCCTGCTTTCTGTAAAAAGAACCTACAGAGCCCACATTTAGAGGGACTTTTCTGAGAAGAGACATAGGTTTTGCCAGAACACGTGAGCACGTGCCACAGCCGCAGGACGTGCCTCTGTGACTGTCGGGCAGGCTGGCACCAATCCTTGACATTCTGTCATGCCGTGAAGTAGCAGAAGCTGAGTCTTGACCTTGATTAATTTGTGGCTAAATTCTCTAAAGACCTCTTGGAAGTTTTACTTATGGAAATTATAGCTTGAAAAACTGAAAAATGGCCTAGACCACTGTTTCTCAATAGGGAGCCACACAGTCGCTCAGGGCCTTCAGAATATTCCAAGGGGGCCACAGGTGGGAAAGACATGAATGGGCAGGGACACAGCATACAACTTAGGGGGCCAAGCTACAGAATGGGGGCTACAGGAAGGAAACAGGATAGAATAGAGCCACATTCAGAAGAAGGTTGAGGAACACTGTTCTAGACTATAATTTGTAGCCAGTCATACAAAAACTTTGTCACTGTCACTGTCCTCCCATTGTTCATCGATTTGCTCGAGCAGGACCAGTAACATCTCCATTTTGAGACTTATTGTTACTGTGTTTGGCATATCGAATAGGTCACGGGGAGTTTGCCAGGCTTTGTGGTGTGGGCAAGATACTCTTGGTAGCTTGCCGGGCTCTCTGAGAGGGGCGGAGAAATCAAACCCGGCTCAGCCGGGCTGGCTGCGTGCAAGGCAAATGCCCTACCCGCTGTACTATCGCTCCAGCCCACAAAAAAACTTGAGTAAACATTAATAGTAATGATTCTTTTACCAGCATGAAACCTTTCACCTTTATTATTTTAATTAATATGTATTAATTACACAACTTAATCACTAAAGCTGATGTTGCTTGGGTGTATTTCCCACATATCTGTCAAGATGAATGGAAATTCAGCTACGTTTATGAAAGGAGAGAACTGCCAGGAATGAGCTTTCTCCCCTTCCTCCCAGATACATATGTAAAAACTTTGGTTCAATGTTGATGAAAAATGTAAACCCTAGGGCTTTGGGGATATAACACAGAAACCCCCACCCCCAAATGTTTTTAAACTTTTTTTTTATGGGAGCCAACAGTGCAGAGGTTAAGGCACTTGCCATGCATGTTACTGAATCCAGTTTGATCCCCAGCACCACATGGTTTCCTGAGTACCACAAGGTGTGACCCCACGCATCAGTCAGAAGAAGTCTCTGAAAACCATTGGGTGTGGCCTCACCAACCAAAAACCCAAAATGTCAATTTTTAAATGAAAAATGAAAGGAAATGAGATCAGTCTTATTTAATCTTTCTTTCACAGTACAGATATATAATTCTTATGACAGACAAGACTGAAGAGAACAATGAGGGAAACCAGCACTTAAAGGAAAGTTACTGACAGTTTAGAGAAAAGGAAGAAGTACAACCAACCCACAGCCACAGCCTCATTGGTCTTTATATTCCCGAGCAGAAAGTCCATTCTGTGCAAAGATACTGTAAACCGAGGTCAACAGCACCAGAAGATACCATCTTTACATCAAACATTGTGGTCTCTTCCTTGCAGTAGCTGGCAGTGTGTGTGTATGCGTGTGTGCGTGTGCGTGTGTGTGTGTGTGTGTGTGTGTGTGTGTGTGTGTGTGGCGGGGGGTGGGTGGTGGGGGTGGTGGGGGTGGTGGCTAGACATCACAAGTAATTTTCTAGTTAAAAAAAACATGTGAGGGGCTGGAGTGATAGCACAGTGGGTAGAGTGCTTGCCTTGCACGCGGCCAACCCGGGTTTGATTTCCAGCATCCCATATGGTCCCCCGAGCACAGCCAGGGGTGATTCCTGAGTGCAGAGCCAGGAGTAATCCCTGTGCATCGCCAGCTGTGACCCAAAAAAGGAAAAAAAAAAATACATGCGAACTCCCTGTTCCATTGGTCTGCGGCTCTGCCTTTGTTCCAGTACCATGCTGTTTTAATTGTTACTGCTTTGTAGTAGAGTTTGAGGTTGGGGAGGGTGATGCCTCCCATTGTCTTTTTCCCAAGAATTGCTTTAGCTATTCATGGGCGTTTGTTGTTCCAAATGAATTTTAGCAGTGCTTGATCCATTTCTTTGAAGAATTTCATGGGTATCCTTATATGGATAGCACTGAATCTATATAGTGCCTTGGGGAGTACTGCCATTTTGACAATGTTAATTCTTCCTATCCATGAGCAGGGGATATGTTTCCATTTCCTCATGTCCTCTTTTATTTTATGGAGTAGTGTTTTATAGTTTTCTTTGTAGAGGTCTTTTACCTCCTTAGTTAGGCTGATTCTGAGGTACTTGATTTTCTGGGGCACGACTGTGAATGGGGTTGCTTTTTTCATATCTCTTTCCTCTGTCTCACTATTTGCGTATAGGAAGGCCATGGATTTTTGAGTACTGATTTTATAGCCTGCGACTTTACTGTACAAGTCTATTGTTTCTAGGAGTTTCTTGGTAGAGGCTTTAGGATTCTCTAGATATAGTATCATATCATCTGTGCACGACCCCAAATGTATGAACATCTAATCTTTGATAAGGGAGCAAGAAATGTGAAATAGAGCAACGAAAGTCTCTTTAACAAGGGTGCTGGCATAACTGGACAACCACATGCAAAAAAATGGGCTTAGATCTCGACTTAACACCATGCACAAAAGTTAGATCAAAATGGATTAAAGACCTCAATATCAGACCAGAATCCATAAGGTACATTGAAGACAAGGTCAGCAAAACCCTCCATGATATTGAGGCTAACGGTATCTTGAAAAATGACATGCCACTGACCAACCACGTGGAAACAGAGATAAACAAATGGGACTATATTAAACTAAGAAGCTTCTGTACCGCAAAAGATAGTGACCATAATAAAAAGACAATCTACAGAATGGGAAAGGATATTCACCCAATACCCAACTGATAAGGGGCTGATATCAAGGATATACAAAGCACTGGTTGAACTCCACAAGAAGAAAACACAACCCCATGAAAAAACGGGGTGATGAAATGAACAGAAATTTTGTCAAAAAAGAAATCTGAATGGCTAAAAGGCACATGAGAAAATGCTCTACATCACTAATCATCAGGCAAATGCAGATCAACATGACAATGAGGTATCATCTCATACCACAGAGACTTGCCCACATCTAAAAGAACAAAAGCAACTGGTGTTGGCACAGATGTGGCGAGAAAGGGACTCTCCTTCCCTGCTGGTGGGAATGCCGACTGGTTCAGTCCTTTTGGAAAACAAACAGTATGGACGATTCTCAAAAAATTAGAAATTGAGCTCTCATTTGACCCAGCAATACCACTCCTGGGAATATATCCTGGAGAGGCAAAAAAGTATAGTCAAAAGGACATCTACACTTATATGTTAATTGCTGCACTGTTCACAATAGTCAAAATCTGGAAAAAACCCGAGTGCCAGAGAACAGATGACTAGTTAAAGAAACTTTGGTACCTCTACACAAGGGAGTACTATGCAGCTGTTAGAAAAGATGAAGTCATGAAATTTGCATATAAGTGGTTCTACATGGAAAGTATCATGCTAAGTGAAATGAGTCAGAAAGAGAGGGACAGACATAGAAAGACTGCACTCATCTGGGGAATATAAAGTAACAGAATGGGAGACAAACATCCAAGAATAGTTGAGATAAGTACCAGGAGGTCTGCTCCATGGCTTAGAAGCCGGCAGCACATGCTGGGGGAAAAGGCAGTTCAGATAGAGATGGGAACATCCAAGTAAAGGGTGTTCGGAGGATTTGCTCGGGATGCGAGATGCATGCTGAAAGTAGACTTTAGACACCAAACACGAGGGCCACTCAATACCTCTATTGCAAACCACAACACCCTAAAGGAAAGAGAGAGCAAAAGGGAATGCCCTGCCAAAGAGGTGGGGTGGGGTGGGGGGTGGGTGGGAGGGCTACTGGGATCACTGGTGGTGGAGAATGGGCACTGGTGGAGGGGTGGGTACTCGATCATTGTATAACTGAAATCCAAGTACGAAAGTTTGTAAGTCTACAACTGTACCTCATGGTGTCTCACTAATAAAACAAAACATGTGAACTCTAAAATTTCCTCTTAAGTAACAGTTATACCCAATGCATTCTAAAATGCTTATTAAGCATGTTTTAACTTTCTGTTATACCAGAGATTACTAAAATGCCTTCTTTTACAATGGTGGGGTAAGAGAGAGCTCAACAGACTGGGTGAATGCTTTACATGTGGGAGGCTGGGGTTCAAGCTGCAGCACCTCACGATATCCTGAGCACCATCGGGAGCACTCCCGATCAAAGAGCTGGGAGTAGCCACAAGAAAAAACAAAGGATGCAAAGAGAGAGTGTGTACAGGGGTCAAGATGCTGACCCTGCACGACATGCTTTTCCCCCTAATCAGATTCTGTTAATTTGTAAGGTCAGATCCTTCTAGGACACTGAACTTGTATCATAAGCTAATAATGTCTTTCTCCTCTCCTTATATTTTTTGAATAGTTTACTTTAAAGCAATGTTCTTTTTGTATAGATACAGGAAGACAGTTAATATTATGCTTTTGTAACTTAGGATTTAATTGGCTTCGAATATTATTCACTCCCGGGCATCTACTTTCTTGACTTAAGCCTCAGCTGCCCTTAGTTCCTAACACCCCAAAAGCAGGGTCCCGACGAGGGACTGAATGGACCCAGGGCAAGCTGTGAGCTACCCCGGCACTGAAATGGGCCAGGTCAAAGCGCCACAATTCTTAATTATAAGTTAAGAGCTTGATCATAGACAAATGCTGTCATGATCCAAAAGTAACGAGACAAGACTAAGACCCTGCTAGGGATAGGAAAGACTAATCTAGCCTGAGCACTGTAGGCTGAGATCAAGATGACCCCAGGGAAGCAATTCTAAAAGTTTAATGCATCTCTGTGTCCATACAAAACAATTAATATTATGAATGCTTATAAGTTTGTTTGACAAGGAGAGGAGAAACACACCCATGGGATTCCGCTCTTGGGTGGGTCATCCTGCTGAGAGGGTTGTGTCCTAGAAGAATTACCCCCTGTTGATTCACCTTTAGAATCGAATGGGGAGGATACCCCTGAGAATATTTGGGGTGGGGGGGACACACCGGTACTCCCCTAATTTTGTGTCCTTTCTTGGTGTGCTGAAAAGGGACCCGATGTTCCTGGAATATTTGAGAGTGTGTGGTTCATGGTGGGAAACAACCAGACTGTTGTGTTTAGAGAGGAGATCTGTGGGAAGGAGAGGCTGACTTTTCGGCCCGTAGAGAACTCCCTGGATGGAGGTTCTTGTACCGTTATTTTTTGCTCCTCAAGAATGTTGTTTAGTTCGTTTTTTGTTTGTTTGAAACCGCCCCCCCCCCTGCCCCGGGGGCAGATGGGCTTCTTAGTGCTGCTTTGCCTCACGAGGAGTGTGTTTTCTTTTTGTTTGTTTGTGTTTAATTGTAGAAAACACTACCTGTCTTTGATTTCCCAAACTGGTATTAAGAGAAGAGCGTCCCTCGTCTTTTTGCTCAAGCAGTTTGTTTGTTTGACTTCTTACTGAGTTTGGATCAAGCGTGTTCTCTGCATACTGACAGAGAGCGGCAGGTTTGTTCGCCAAAACTAAGAGAGAAACTTAACAATACTGCCGACCAAACCAGCGGTGGCTTTATAGGGGGAAAGTGACTCTAAATAAAAAAATCTCTCAGAAGAAGTACCCCCGAGGGGAAGAACTTTACCCCTATTGATTGTGACCACACCTATGTGTAAGCACCAATGCCTCATGGTTTTGGGAATTAACTAGACTGTAAGAGTGGGCTGGGGGATCCAGATTCCAGAGGCAGAAGGAGGATGAAGGGGGATCGAGAAGGAGAATTAAGTAGTATGCGGGAGGAAGAAGCAGGAGGAGAATCAGAGGAGAATGGAGATGAGAATGGAATAAATTGCAACTAAGACCAACCAGCCTGGCCCTCGTTCCTTCCTTCGTCTGCCCATTACCATCGACCTCCCTGGGGTGGGGGAAAAGCGTGAGACTACCCAGCGTGGGCAGTGGGGAGAGACAGAGCGCCACTGCTGGTCCCCTTTTTGTGTTTACAACAGGGAGCAATACCTGAGCACAGAGCTGAGAGCAGCCCCAAACAGCTCTGGGTGTGGGCGTCCCCAAAAACCAAAGCCAAACTGAGGAAGAGACTGGAGCTTTGTAGTGAATAACTGAAATAATGTACTGTCTGTAGCTTTCAGAGAGACTGATAGATATTAATGGTTAATACAGGTTTTTTTTTTTAATTACTAAAATGTTTACTTTCCCACAAACATTTTCCCGTTTCCCTCAATATCTGAGGAACTGTCATTAATCTGCCAGGACATGTTAGCAGGACAATTTAATGTCAAGCACTAACACTGCAAACCAACTGATCACTAGACTACAGCTGGACTCATAACTGTAGGTCGAACCGGCTGTGAGACTAAAATCTTCCTAATTGTGCATAATTTACACTTACTCCCACAGGGCATCTTGGTTTTCTTTTAGAACAAGTAACTTAGTAAAGGAGGGAATTTTTGTTGTAGCTGTTGTTGGGGGTGCCACACTTAGCAGGAATCGGGGCCCACTGATGATGCTGGCTGTGTGGTCAGGGACCGGGTGCTGCAGGGGACGGAAACCCAGGGCTTCGCAGGCAAAGCCATCTCTCTGGCCTGAGAACATTCATTTTATGCCAGACAAATACAAACGTAAATCCAACCTGTTTTTAGTAAGGGCCCCCAGTTCGCCTCTTACCTGAACAAAATGACTAGGCGTTTCACTGCAAACAGAATGGATCTGTCCATTTACTATCGGGATTATCTTAGCTAAAGGTAGGCTGACACTGGAAAGACTGAAAAAAAGAAAAAAATCACAGTGATTACCGTTTTCTGAAGTTACCCTAGAGGAATTAGTTACTGAATTACCAAAGTAAATCGTCACTGAAGAATACTTGTAGAAATATATTGGGAAGAAAATGAAAACAACACATAGTTCTACCACCAAGAAATACAGCTATCATTAATGTGAAGACTAGCCCCTTCCAGGAATTTTTATGCATGATTTTCTTGTGCTTTTAATATAAAAATTTAACTCCCATGAGCAATATTGTCTTACATTTTCATTTATATAGCATTTCAATCTTATTCAAGTTCTTCCAACATTTTTGTCTGCTTTTATATGATTACATAGTAGTCTATCTTTTCTCTCTGACAGTACTCAGCAGCTTGCTAGAGTAAAGCATTTAAAATTGTGCCTAATTAAAAAAAATAACTCTTTGTACTAATATGGAATTGCTGGGCTGAATGTTCTGAACATTTTTAAGATTTATAATGTGTATTTATTTCTAAATATCTCCTGCTTTTCTAGTGGTGTTTGAGAATTCTTGCTCCATCATAACTCTTTCTAAGTCAATTGTTATTTTATTCTCTTTTGGGGGGTTGTTTTTATTTTATATACAATTTAAACATATAATTAAACAATTATATATATATAATTTTTAAATTTAATCACCATGAGATACACTGTTACAAAGTTGTTCATGATTGGGTTCCAGTAATACAATCCTTACAATTATGTCACTATCCCTTCACCAGTGTACATTTCTCACCACTAATGTCCCCTAAGAAGCTTATGAACCTTAAAAAAAAAAAAAATGGAGGCCAAAATACAAAGATAGCACACAAAATGAGAAAAAAATTATTTACCAATACTCATCTGATAAGAGTTTAATATCCACGATATATAAGGCATTGGTAGAACTTTATGAGTAAAAAAATCCAACCCCATCAAAAAATGGTGAGAAATGAACAACACTTCCTCAAAGAAGAAATACAAATGACCAGAGACACATGAAAAAATGCTCTATATCGCTAATCATCAGGGAAATGCAAATTAAACAATGAGATATCATCTCACACCACAGAGACTGGCACACATCTAAACAACCAGTGCTGGTGTGGATGCTCGGAAAAAGGAATTCCCATTCATTGTTGGTGGTAATGCCAACTGGCTCAGCTTTCTTGGAAAATAATGTGGGCATGCCTCAAAAAGCTAGAAATTAAGCTTCCATATGACCCAGCAATACCAGTTCCAGGAATATAGCCCAGGGGCCCCAAAACACACTGCAGAAAAGCCATCTGCACTTTTATGTTCATTGCAGCACAATTCACAATAGCTAGAATCTGGAAAAGAACCTCAGTGCCCAAGAAGAGATGATTGAGTAAAGAAACTATCGTACATTTACACAATGGAATACTATGCAGCCACCAGGAAAAATGAAGTCATGAAATCTTCGTGTAAGTGGATGGACATGGAGTGTATCTCATTCTTTAATTTGTGTATCTGAGAACTGAAAATGGTAAGTCTACTTTCCTCTTTAAATGACCAATAATGTAAACATGTTCCCCCTCTACTTCATTTTTACAGCATACTACTATCTACCTGGCTGTCCATGCAGGACACCTGGGCATTATTATTGGCATTTCCTCCACAATCTCAAATATCACTTTCAAGTGTCTACTGTTCTAGTTTAGCTTTACTGGTTAGAATAACTTAACAGTGCTAAGTAAGTACCAACAGTGCCCAAATCTACATACTTTTAATTGACTGGAATTCGTTCTAGTGTTTTACAGTTAAGTATAGTTGTTTTGGTTTCTTTTAATATAACCATTCTTTGTTATACTAAAATTATTTTTTATTTCCAGAAAAGGTTTCATTAATATTAAGTTTCAGTTTTACCGAATGCCTCTTAGAACACTGAAGTTTTTTTTCTCCTATTAACTTATTAATGTTATGGATTGCTGTTATAGCCCTCTTAATGTTTTCACTCTCCTTAAAATAAACCTGAGTCACCACATTGGAGAACAACAACAAAATCCCAGGTTTTAATATCTGGGAGAAATTAAATATCTAGATTTGCTACTTACTAAGAAGCAAAGTAACTTGCTAAGTGGCTTTGATTTCAGAGACATTTAATTTTCCCATTTCCTAAGAGAAAGATGTGAAAAGAGGAAAGCACTAGCACTTCCTAGCGTTATTTTAAGAATCAGGTAATCTACTGAAAAGTAATAGCATACAGGATCAGGAAATACTGATTGCTATTACTGTTTGGATATATTTATAAATTTCATTTGCTTTAATTTTTCTTAGGATTTTTACACCTACAGTCATACTTTAAGGTAGTATAGTTTTAATTTTAGGTCCTATCTTTGTCCATTGTAAATTGTAATAGGCTATAAGCTGGTGATAGAAAATCTTTTTAAAAATATTTATTATATTTGTATTACTATATACATATGTCTATAATTTGTATAATTTGCATATACATTTCATATATATCTATATAAGGGGTTTTTCTAAGTCTTGAGGCTTCCTTATTGTTCATTATAGTACTCATGATTAATGATATTTTTGTCTTTCTGTCAATAGTTAAACAGTTTTTTCCTTGACTTACTGTGATGGCTAGTTCCAGGAAATAAGCAATAGGAATCACAGTAGAAATGGCTGGAATGTTCTGGCTATTAAGGTAGTGAGAAGTTATTGATATGAAAGAGAAAAGAGGATAGGAAATACCTACTGAATGTTGCTGTCTAGTGAAATATGAAAAGGCATGAAATAGTCACTGACTTTGAGAAGAGGATTAAAACATAATTGAGAAATAAGGTTCCAGCACTGTGTTAATTCTATATAGCATATATTCATTTCCTTTCCAATTTTAAAAATTTAATATTTTTATATTTAATATTTATGAGGGCTGGAGCGATAGCACAGCGGTAGGGTGTTTGCCTTGCACGCAGCCAACATGGCCGACCCGAGTTCGATTCCTCCGCCCCTCTCAGAGAGCCCGGCAAGCTATCGAGAGTATCTTGCCCACACGGCAGAGCCTGGCAAGCTATCCGTGATGTATTCGATATGCCAAACACAAACACAAACAACAAAGTCTCCAATGGAGACGTTACTGGGCCTGCTCGAGCAAATCAATGAACAACAGGAGGGCCTTTACCTTTACCTTTTAATATTTTTATATCTTTCGAGATTTTTTCTTATACTAACTGATTGCTTAGGAATGTCTTATTTCAATGTTTTTTGCAGATATTCCCACTATACTTTCTGCTATCAGTTATTAATTTTACTATTCTCAACAGAACATATTATACGATAAAATTCTATTTAAATTTGTTAAAATGTTATGGCCAAAGAGATGGTCTGTCTTAATTAATTTTTCATCATTGTATCACTGTATCGCTGATATCCTGTTGCTCACTGATGTGCTCGAGCGAGCACCAGTAACTTCTCCATTCGTCCTAGTCCTGAGATTTTAGCAGCCTCTCTTTACTCTTCCTTCCCAATGGTGCCACATTGGAGGCTCTTTCAGGGTCAGGAGAATGAGACACAACACTGTTACTATGTTTGGCATATCGAATACACCAGGGAGAACTTGCCAGGCTCTGCCGTGTAAACTTTTTCATAAGAATTTAAAAATATATGGATGTTATTATGCTCTTAGGTGTAGTAGTTGTATATGTAGATACTACTGGTTTATGGTGGTTTAGTTTCAGAATTTTCATATCTTAGTTGATTTTATGTTTAGCCAATTTACTGGTTTATATCCATTTCTGAAGAGTGTTGAAGCCTCCAATAATCACTGATTTGTCTGTTTATTTTTTCAGCTCCTTATTTGTTTTCTCCCCTGTACTTGAAGACGTTGTTTGCTGTTCGATGCACCATTAATAGCATTATATCTAACAGATTGGATATTTTATCATTATGAAAATGTCTTTCTTTGCTTCTCTTAGTTAACCTTACATTAAAAATTTTTTTTCAGTTAAAAAAAAAGAAAAATAAGCTTCATGTCTCTAAGCATTCTAAATTGTTAACATTAATTAGAAAAATTTTGGAGGGAGGTATAATAAAGCCACTCAAAAATTAATAATCTTCTGCCAAGTATGTTTAAGAAATCAACTAGATACAGCACACAGTTATTGCATAATCACTGCTGTTCTGTTAATGGTGAATTTACATTTTACAATGATTTAGAACCTTATCTTTTGAGTTTAATATAAAAAACTGCAAGACAGACTTCCTTAAAGAGTGTCAAATCTAATATGAGATCAAGGTGTTCAAGTTAAGATGATAATACAGCAAATCAATAAAAGCTTTTGAGTAGCATAAATCTATGATATGAATTAGGTATTGTCAAGAGTACTAGCAACAGCATCAATTACATATTCTCAATCTCATGATAAAAGATTCAAATATTTAAATAGTTGTTTCATTTCATTTCATTTCATCATCCTGTTATTCGTCGATTGCCTCGAGCAGGCCCCAGTAACGTCTCTTTCATCCTAACCCTGAGATTATATTCAAGGCTCTTTAGGAGAATGAGACCCATCATTGTTACTGGTATTTGGCATATTTGGTACGCCATGGGGAGTTTACCAGACTCTGCCCTGAAATAAATAGTTGTAGAACTAGGAGATCATTTAGCAACAAAGAATATACAACAAAAGTGCCTGGTTATTATAATAGCCAAACTATTGAATTAAGTAGGTGAATTATGGCTTATAGTACTAGGATCATTGTAGAGGGTATTAAAATTTAAATACCTGCCAGTTTTCTATCCCAAATAATTTAAAAAAAAAATTAAGTATTTGGCTTACAGAAAGGTAGTTTCACAACTTAAAAAAAATACTGTATAATACTACAGGGCAAAATATTTGATAAATATTTTTACTCTGAATTCACAAGGAGTGCTAATTAATGAAGAAGTTATTGGTGTGTGGAGTTTAATTTGTCAAAAAATGAGCATTCCACGTTTTTTTCTGGGGGCTTTCCTGAGTCTGACCACATACTTATATACCCTCTTACCTGTTTCTGGAGTCCCCATGTTGTAGGTCTTGCTCAGTAGGTCGAAAGAACTCAGCCATATTGTCCAACAGTCTACTAAATCCTCGGTTTAAACAGGTGTTCAAAACAGTACTAAAATCTGGACTAGACAACACAAACCGTAAAAGTTACCTTTTAGATTCTCAATGGAACTACGTGGTTAGTTCTGTCAGTGACCAATATTTCTAGTTACAATCCAGTTTTGACAGTCTGTAATATTATCAAAACTTATCAAGGGGTCAACTGTTAAAAAGGAAAGTTAATTAAGCACAACATATGAGAATATTTATTTTGCTATATATTTTTCACATTAATACTATTTTTAAAAATATCAATAACAGAATTCATCTTTTAGGCTTTTTGCTTAACACTGGACAGTGTTCAGGGTGCTGGGGGTCCCTGGGAGACAATATGGGATTCTAGGGACTGAACCCACATCAGCAACATGCTAGGCAAGTACCCTTTTTGCTGTGCTATCTTTTTGGCACAAGTTTTACTTTTCTTGAGGAAATTCTTGAAGAACTTCTTGTAGTCTCAGATTATTAGTTTGCATATGTACTTTATAAGCATTCTGGGGAGACAAAAAATGGCAGATTTCTTTGGCACTAAGCTAAGCAGGTCATAAAAACCCTATGAGCTACCAAGCCCACAGGTTTTTCTCTGTCAAGGGCTGGGGAGCGTATTTTGCAGATGGGAGACCAAGGTTCAGTCGCCAGCACCACAAGCTCCTCTGAGCACCATGGAGTAACTCCCAAACACTACTGGCATAGACTGAGCACTGCCAAGTGTGATCCTTCCTCCACCAAAAGAAAAATTAAAAAAAAAAAAAAGAAGTACGTTACAAAAGTTTTTTTAAAAAAAATCACCACTGAACAAATTGATTCTAGTTCAGACGTGCAGAAATCTTAATTACATTAGTGGAGGATGCAGGAGAGCTGAAAGGGCTTGAGCACAAGTCAGGCTTACGAAAGTCCTGAGCATGACCCCCAGCTCCACACTGTTAGGTGTGGCCCTGGTGACCCCAACACTGCTGGGAATAACTGCCTGTGTGTCTCTGTGAGAACTCTGGGAGCAACCTGCACCAAGAAATAAATTAAATATTAGTATGCAGAGAATAGTCCAAACACAGGGAAGACATAGCAAATTGCTTGAGCAGAACCAGGCAGAGTTTCCAGGGTTAAGTGTGTGCAACCCTGAGCAGATTCCTGGCACCCACCCCAGGGTCCTTGCGCTAGATCTGGGCCAAGAGTTGCCAACGGTGTCCTTGGTTCTTGAGCATGGCAATAGGGCATAGCCTTTAAAAGTAACTGCTTGGGGGAAGCTGAGGATAAAGCAGAGTACTAATGTTTAAAGAAAGTAATTTTAGAAGAAATGATGGAAAAATTGTGAGAAAAATTAGGAAATTATGCAAACCATGGAGAGGAGAATTTCAAGAAAGGCTTGATCAACAGCATCAACGACCGGAAAAATGGTTGAATGAGCAAAAGAGTGGACATTACTCTTCTTAAGTTCAATGGGCTAGAAGCTGATAAACTCAGTAAAATTAGTAGCTGAGCTGACCAAAAAGTTTCCTGATTTTAAGATCATGAGAAAAAACAAGCAGGTTGTAATTTTCTCAGGAAACAACTGGAGAAAATGGACTTAACTAAGCTCTAATTTACAAGGACTGATATTTTTAATCACAATATCAAAATAGGTAGGATGGGGCTGGAGTGATAGTACAGCGGGTAAGGTGTTTGCCTCGCACATGGCCGACCCCGGTTCGATTCCCAGCATCCCATATGGTTCCCTGAGCACTGCCAGGAGTAACTCCTGAATGCAGAGCCAGGAGTAGACCCCTTTGCATTGCTGGGTGTGACCCAAATAGCAAAAAAAAAAAAAGTGGGTAGGATGGGTATGTATTACAGCTCAGATTTTATAGAGATAAAACTACCTCAAGAGCAAAACTGTACTTCAAAGAGATTCAAAGGCTCAGCCAAGATCAGCACATAGTGACCAGGAGAGCCAGCTATGGGCCTAGAGCTCTGTGTTTGTGCTTTTATATCCCTGACATCCTAGTTCTTTTCTGTGTGATTCAAAATAGTAATAATTTAGGGGAGATATGAAAATTTTATCCCTCTAAGTTTTAATTACAGCCTATCCTGAAGGGTTATGGAAAATAATTCTCAGAACTGTGTGTATCTGTATATACACATTAGCAGGTGTGTTTGAGTGTATGTGTGTATGCATGTACACACACACACAGATTAGCTAAGTTGGCTGGTTTTGGTTCTCAACAGCAATGCTCCCCAACCCCTAGCTCAGCGTCAAGCAACCCCAAGTTGGTCAGAATTGCTATGTACTGAACAATTCTAGCTGCTGTTTTTGGTATGGGGGGTCTCCGAGGCTATGCTCAGAGGGCAGGTCACTCCTGGTGGGTCTTTGCAAGGCTAGGGGATCAGGGACAGGTGTGGTACTGAGGAGTGACTGAGTTCAGCTGTGTGTACTTGTGCTTAACCCTTGAGTTTCCTCACTGGTCCCAGTCTCGGGGGCTTTTTTTTTTTTTTAACCAGATATGTTGGAAACATGTTAAACATGTTGAAAAACAGAGTTGGTTGTTAAACATTTTCTAGCAGTCACTGGATGCTTCAGTTAACACCTTTGAAAACATTTTGAAAGTTAAAATGGTATTTATTTTTTTGTCCCTCAAGTATTAGGTGACTCTCCAGGTGAGGAAAGAGGTGGGAAGGCATGGGCACCTTGCAAACGATGTTTCCCTCCTCACCTCAACAGCAGGACTGCTACTGTAGGTAGAAAGCCGTACTGAAAGGCAGTGGAATCAATTCAAAATTTAATTTTAACCAGAAACTTATGTTCAACATGTTGATGCTAGCAGGTACCACTAGTGACTCGCTTGGATGTGAATTAGTAAGGATAGTTACCATGCCAGCATACTAGTGGTATAATACCATGACAAGAAAAGTTACCATGCGAATGTGTTAATGCATTTTCAAAACAAAATAAAACAAAACAAAACATTAGTCCATATAAAACAGAAATGCCTGTTTTGGTTAAATGCAATATACATACCTTTCCAACATGTCTCTAGTTTCATTGAGTAGTTTAATCGTGGTGACATCTCTTGGAGAAAGCCCAGAAGCCTGTAAAATCCAAACGCTAAAATTCAGGCTTATCATGTATTAGCAGAGGGCTGTGATATAACTGATCACAGAAATATATTCAACAGTTCTCAAAATTAAGTTACAGCAACACTAAGGAAAAAAGTAAGACTCAATGAGCTATCAAACTTCAGGTGTACAGGGAATTAAAATTGAAAACATGAATCAAAGCAAAATTACACTTTTGCGAAACTTGTTTGCTTGACCCCTTTTGGACACACTTCTAGAAGAATTTCTTGGGGGAGCCTCCCAAGCAGGGCTCAGGGGACTCAAGAGCCACTCCTGGCAATGTCTGGTGAACTGGGCAAAGAAGTTTAGTAAGAGAACTTGAGGATGGGATGCTGTGGGGGTTTCAGTGGAGGCCGGGTATCAATGGAGCCACACCCATGGGGGGTTGTGGAGGGTCCTATGATGCTGGAATTTGAATCAGGTCCACAGCATGCCATGTGACCAAGTGCTCCTGAAATCTTAGCTATTACCCTGACCCCTAGGATCATTTTCTATGAAGAAAATGGTCACAAGGGCCACACTTTCTCAGAACATGCCTTTATTTTTTATTTAAAAAAAAATAATCTACTTAGTGCAAGACTCTGTAGTCATTCAATCTAAAGCTTCCGACTTGAATTCAGTGCAGTTCTAGTTGGTCCCTCCTCTTGGGGGAGTCTCTTTAACCTGTTCTTTTGAGTCATTTGCGTCTGCAGTTATACTGGTGAATTTTAACATTTGAATTTAAAAAAATTAATTTTTTAAAATTAAATTTAAAGAGACAGCTTTAAGGATTATTGTGGATACTCTCTGAGGGAGGCCAGGGACTGACCCCTGGTACAGTCTGGCCTTCTAGCAATGAGGGAAGCAAACCCTGAGCCTGAAGTAAGTAACTCCTGAGCACTGGCTGTGGTCAAACCACTCCTGTCCCATCTCAATCCTGTCCATCCAGTAGTTCTGTCCCATCTGTCCTTGTTCTGTCCCACCTCTCGTCACCCAGGCTCTAGATCAGAGTGTCCGCAGGAGGGACCACTGGGACAACGGCAGACGCCATGCCAAGATACAGGCAAGGGCCTCCCTGGCCTAAGACTTCTCCAGCTGCCAAATGACCAGCTCCCAATTCTCAATCCGTCATTTAAAAAAATAAAAATAAATTATTTAACACAGGTAGGTATTCTAAGCAGAGATCTTTGATGTTTTTAATATTCCCTCAGGGAGGAGGCACCACCATGTAGCACTGAAGGTCCAAGGACACTCCTGGCAATTCTCAGCCAACCAGGCTGAGGTTTACAGCGGAGTCTGAGCAGACCCACCTCAGGGGCCTCGGGGGCTGTGCCTGGCAATGCTCGGGGGACCGGGTGGTGCCAGTAACTGGAAGGCGTTTGGCCGCATTAGAGGCCCGTGCCTTAACTCCCACACTGTCAGTCTTAGCCCTTTAAAATACTCTTTTGATTTTCTTTAGGTGTCAGCCTTCCTATGCTGAAGGCTCACTACTGCCTCTTCGCTCAGAGGTCACACTTGGTGGTGCTCCAGGCACAGTATGTGGGGCCAGGGAATGAACTGGGGCCAGCTATGCCTCACCCCTTGCACTATTATTCTGCTCCCCTTTTAATATTCATTAGTTTTGGATTTTGTTTTGTTTTGGAGCCACACCCGGGAATGCTCAGGCATTAATCCTAGCTCTATTCTTAGGAATCACTAATGGTGGGTTTGGGGGATCATATGGGTACTGGGGATCAAACCTAAGTCAGTGGCATGCAAGGTAGTGCCCTACCTGCTCTATGACTCCTCTGTGGCCACCCCCTTTAATAGTCTTAGTCAATGAATAATTTACAGCAGAACTGCCTGAAACACTTCATTGTACAGCACATCATGAACATACCTATTAAATTAGGTCTTCTATGTTTCTCAATTAATGACAACTTACTTTATTTTGGGGCTTTTTTTGGGGGGGGTCAGGGGTGGGTCATACCCAGCAATGCTGAGAGGTTACTCCTGGCGCTGCACTCAGAAATCATTCCTGGTGCTGCTTGGGGAACCATATGGGATGCGGGGGATTGAACCCGGGTCAGCCATGTGCAAGGCAAATGCCCACTCCACTGTACTATCGCTCCAGTCCCAATGACAATTTACTCTAGCCTATTTTGAACAGTATATCTCATTTATCTCAAAAAGCAAATGTGATGTGATATGGCTTGGATGAAAACACAGTGAGCTCAGGGGCCAGGGGAAACATATCTTGAATGTGCAAGGACCCAGGTTTGATCCCTAACACTGGATGGCCACCCCACCCTGCTGGCGCCCACACCAGCAACTCAGCACAAACAGAGAAGGCCCCAGAGCACAAGCCCTAGCACAGAGACCTGTCCAATGGGCTGAGGTACTGCTAGGAGTGGCCCCGGGCCCCCACTCCTCCTTCCTTTGACTACTGAGACTACTGAAAGTGTACACATGCTCCATTCGTGGCACGCCAGGCTAGCCCAGTGGGTGCATGCATTACAGGTTGGGGGTGTCACACATGGTAGTCCCGTGCTTTATTACTTGAGTGACTTTCCAGACACCATAGCTTGGCAGACTCTTCATAATCTTCACTCGGTCACCAGAGTTATATCTTTTACTTCTTCCAGAAAGACGCTTTTGTGCCATGAGTTGAATTTGTCTCCCGAACTCCTTGAGCGTCTTATTTACTTATATCCCCAGCTTATATCATAATGGCACAGAATACTTCAAAGTTCTGAGTATCTATAACATTTAGTATTCTAAGTAGAAGGCTGTCATGTTTACAGTTGCTTTTACTTTTGCTTCTGTTATTTGGGAGGCAGTCAACACCCAGCAGTGTTGGGGGATCGCTCCCAGGGGCCAGGCAATGCCAGGAATTAAACCCGGGGCTCCCACATGCAAATACGCTCTCCAGCTCTGCGAGCTACTCTTCTGGACCTACAGTTGTTTTGCATTATTGAAAGGCTCATTTCAATTATTGGAAATATATGCACCCATTCGCTTAACTTTCAAGAGTTTCAGCAATGTCAATTGAAAGAGGTAGTGAAAGTAACTAAGACAGTATATAATCACTGCTTGAGTTAAATGATTATGAATCAAGCACCTGGACTTCTAAAGGCGTTTCCTCATCTGGCATCATATAGTGGCATAATAAAGATCTGGATTCATCTTTATTAATCCAAGTAGATTTATGCTGCTCCACGAGATTCCGGATTTCTTTTAGCTTCTGCTCCAAGTCCAGAAGGGACAAAGAATGTTTAAGAGACACACTGGAAACAGACAGAAGGGAAGTGGGGTAAGCTGAGACTGCGTCACGCTCCATACACTCTTAACTGGCACTAGCTGAGCTCCTGCTTCATCCAGTCAGACCTGAAACTGCCGCATATGAAATTACTAGAACAGATTAAGAAATCAGTTACCAGTTAAAGATCATTATTACAGAGCCAAGAATAATCTTGCTGCATATTTCACAAGAAAAGTCTCATCATAATTACAGATATCATCAGTATAAATAGGAGATAGGGACATCAGAGGCAGATTTTAACGTAGGTGTTTGATCAAACTGCCAAATAGCCCTGTCTGATTTAGGAATCAATAAACTAATAAACCAGATCCCGGAACTAATAAATCAATAAACTATAAAATCAATAAACTAATAAATCAATAAACTATAAAAACCAGATCCCAGAACCTTATTATGACATCTTATTATCTCATTCCTACTTTGGACAAACTGGCAGGTTACCGAATGTAGCCTGCCCACAGGGCAGAGTCTGGCAAACTCCCCTTGGCGTACCCAATATGCCAAATACCAGTAACAATGATGGGTCTCATTTTCCTAAAGAGCCTTGAATATAATCTCAGGGCTAGGATGAAGGAGACGTTACTGGGGCCTGCTCGAGGCAATCGACGAATAACAGGATGATTTGTGATTTGTGAAACTAATAAACTAAGACATTCAAACTTTTCCCACCAAAAGTGGACTCTATAAATATCCCAGGACTGTTACAAAGAATATCCCACACCACCCTTTGCCAGGTCACTAGCTTCACTAGAAGAACTCTAGTTTTTGTAGATTTTATTCACTAAAAGCAGGGAAACACAGAAGCCAAAACAAAATGCTTTACCTCCCTAAAATCTTCTGCACAGCTTGTTTAATGACAGAAATCAGTTCTGTGAGGCCTGTTAAAGGAAAAAGAAATATAAAAGCCTTCTTCACTAACAGGGGCTAGGAAGACTGGTGAATGGTTGGAATCTACCAGGAGTGTATGTGGGGCGGAGGGCAGGTAAGATAGAAAAGGAACTGGTACGGCAATAAAGTTGGAAATGATCACGCTGGACAAGAACTGAGTGTTAAAAGTAGGTAAAGGGATATATAAGACAACCTTTCAGTAACTGTACTGCAAACTACAATGTGCAAAAAGTGGGCTGGGGGTGGGGTTGGGGGAGAGGGAGAGAAAGAGAGAGAGAGAAGGAGACAGAGACAGGGTGAGAGTTCAAGAGAGAGAGCACGTAAGAAAGACAGAGAAGAGGAGAGAACGAGCACAAGAGAGAGAGAATAAGAGAGAGAGAGTGCCTACCATTGAGGCAGGGGCAGGCTGGGGTGGGGGTGGGGTGATGGGAGGGAAATTGGGGACACTGAGGCTGGGAAATGTACACAGGTGAAAGGATGGGTGTTGAAACACTGTATGAAGGACACCTAATCATGAACAGTTTTGTAAGGATCTCACAGTGATTCAATTAAAAAAAAAAAGACTTTTTCACTTTTTGAAGTCCTTCCTAATACAAATGAATGAATTAAAGTCTATAGGTCACAAATAAGAATCTTACCATCTCCAAGGAGGTGTTGAATACTTGATAAATATTGCTGTTGAACATCTGGGGGAGCAAGAGCTGTCTGTACAAAACAGAAATAAGGTTCAATTCCCAAAGCATTAGTAAATGATACTGAGATAAAGGATATTGGCACTCCTATGTTCATAACAGCATTACCCGAGTTCGATTCCTCCGCCCCTCTCGGAGAGCCCGGCAAGCTACCGAGAGTATTCGATATGCCAGACACAGTAACAACAAAATCTCCAATGGAGACGTTACTGGGCCCGCTCGAGCAAATCGACGATCAACGGGAGGCCCTTTACCTTTATTCAATAACCTAAATATGGAATAAACCTAAATCAATGCAAATGCCCATCAACAAATATGTGATATAAAAAAGCTGTGGTATGTGTATGTGTATGTACACACACACACACACACACACACACACGGAATCAATGTGTTACATAATTCTCTGACAGTGAAAGAGATGAAATTAGGCTGGAGAGATGGCTCAAAGGGCCACAGGGTCGGGTGCAGGGGGGTGAGAGGTGGGGAGGGAGGAGATAAAGTTGTATCTTTAGGGACAATATGAACAGTAACATGTCAAGTGAAATAAGCAACTAGAGGACAATGGTTAGCTGGTTTCATAAGTTACTAAAGCAAACAATCTGGCAAGAAGCAAAAGTAGATTCAACAATAACTTGAACTGAGGTTTGTGGAACTCAGAATGACTGAAAAAAAATTCTGAGACAAAAGCCTAATTTAAAAAAAAAAACGAAAATGCTTAATGTTTATAATTACATGTGCTATAAAGGTATTTTACTGAAATTATCGAGACACATAATATGTAGTTCACTTAAGACTAGCAGAAAGGAAAGTCTATGTCTCATACTCACAGTGCCATTTTTGCCAATGGCCGCGTTATCCAGGTAAATATAGCCACCAATTATGTTTAACTGCACGCGCAGAAGGACAACCAGCATACACGTGCTATATACAGCTACAATACTTCTTGTGAAACCTTCACAGGAAAAAAAAGAAAATTCTTTGGTACTATTAAAATAGAAACAAATATGTAAAGTGAATGAATCACCCTCCTGGTTATTTTTTGGGGGTCAGTTCACTGAATTAGACATCTAAGTACAAAAGCTAAAAAACAGTTTAACATAGTATGTGAATAATACCCAAAGACAGTAGAAACAAGGGTTAGGAAGACTGGCCCACAAGGGAAGCTTGCCCCAAGGGGTAGGGCGAGTCCAGTGAGGACGGAGGTGGGATCACTATGACCATGATGGAGGGAAGGCCTGATCGTGCTGGACACAAACTGAGTGTTGGAAGGAGGTACAGTGAAATGTATGACACCATTTCAGTAACAGTACTGAGAGCCACAGTGCATAAAAATGAGAGAAAGGGGGCGGGGGCAGGCTACAGAAGGGAAACTAGGGACAGCGGTGGTGGGAAATGTGCACTGGTGAAGGGAAGGGTGTTGAACATTGTCTGACTGAGATTCGAACATGAACAACTCTGGAACTGGATCTCACGGTGATTCAATTTAAAAAAAAAAGTCAAAAAGACCTCAAATTTTCTAGCTGATCACCTTCAAACTTGTTCAACCTGAATTAAGTGCGATCTCGTAACTGAACCAACAACTCTCTGCAGTGGCAGATCAAGATAAGGCCACTGGGGCCGGAGGAGGGTCCGGAGAGGGCCTGGCTGCCTTCCAGCAGCGCGGACACTGTTCCAACAGGGGAGCAGCGCGGGCACTGCCCTCTGCTGCCAGTTGGCGCGGGAGGAAGCCAGGCGGCAGGTTTGGGAACACAGAATTACTGCCGTCAGCAGCAACTGGAGCCGAGAGTCGGGAAGACGTCTCCCACTGTTTTATTACTCTAGTCCACCAAGGGGTGAGAAGGCGGAACTGAAGGCTGACTGCCTCCTGCAAGGGTGCACAGAGGACACGGGCATCTGAAGACAGGGAATCCCCACGGCCGAATGTTTCACGGGGCCAGGTGTTTGGTCTGAGTTCATGTGGCAGCTCTCAGCGACTTTATTTGCTAAGGAGAATCCAAGACTCACCAGCCTTCTAACCAAGATAGGATTAAGGAGAGCAGCCACGTGCCCCTCAGTCGGCAGCCCCCACAGGCCTAAGGGGCCGAGGGTGAGCGTGGAACTCGGGTCCATGCACTGTCCTCTACTGGAGGTTCCCCAGTGGAGGAATCCTCTCTCCATTCTGGTCCATTCTCACCAAGAATGGCCACACTAGGGACACTAGCATCGGTATCTTGCTCAATCTGAAAGCCCCACTGCACCATTCTCCCTGCTTTTTTAAAAGCAAAAAAATGTATAAGGTTGTAGATGGAGACTGTTTGTCAGTTAATGTTCCCAATTTCTCAAACAGTTCATATCTGCTCTAGTAATATTCACTGTAATCCTTCTTCAAGGTAGGGGTTGATACAGCTCAGTTATACCCTCAAGTTTTAGTAGAAAATAAATAAATGTTCTTAAGTTTGAAAAAAAAGGGGGGGGTGGGGGACTATAGGGGCCAGAGAGCTAATATGAGCTCTTTTTTTTTTTTTCATTTTTTTTTTTAACTTTTTCTTTCCTCCTGACTCTGCACCCAGGGATCACCCCTGGAAGTGCACCCAACCTGCTTCCCATGTTTCTGGCCCTGAAAATGGGTTCATGCATTCCACTAACCTTGCTCAAAATCCCCACACCACACATATGGTCCCATGAGGACCACCAGGGGTTATTCTTAAGCAAAGAGCCAGGAACAAATCTGAACTGCCAGGTGCGGACCATGTTCCTGGCACAGACTCTACTGTGACAAAGATGAATGGGAGAGAAGAATAACGAAGTAATGTAGAAAGTCCAGGTACCATACAAGGGATATGAGAAAGTACAATCGATGAAAGGGAATATGGAGTACTAGACAGGTTTAACTTTTCCAGTAGGCAAAGCTTAAGTACAGCAGTGCACAAGGTGTAGTAAGGTTAGAAAAACGAGAATAAATTATAGTAGGAAATTCTGAGATATGCCTATTTAACTCTATCTTATATATACAAGATCCAAGGCAGTCCTTTGTTTCAAATTTTAATCACCGAAGTGTGCAAGCAGTATTAAAATTATTTACTGAGTTATAGTAAAAACTGTATTTAACAGTATATTACTGAAACCACTGATTGCTTATTTTAAGAATAAATAAGAACAGACTTCTGTCTTATCCTAATAATACCAATATTATCAACAACATATTTACTGAACACTTCCTATAATAAGATACAAATCTAATTGCTTTTGCAAAAATCATTTAATCTGGGTAATGTATCAAAATAGTCTAGAAAAGGAAGGTCTTCCACATAATAGAAAACAAAAATCTTCCCTTCATAAATATTAAGAATGTACTGTCACACTGAATAAGAAGTCTTACTTATTATCTTCAGATCCTCCCAAATTTCTAGCTTGTTTGAAGGCCTAGAAAAATAAAACAGAAAACATGAGAATAATAATCTATGTAGTCTAATAGGAAAGTCTGAGCTTTCTAGTTCTATATTTAAAGATAAAAGCAGAAAACGAAGTCCACAAAACAGAGCTAAAAAAATCTGTGACTTCAGTAACCAATAAAAACATTCATATTTACTGTTATTTTTACATTATGTTTTAAGTCTTTCTTTCCTCTGAGTATATGTATATTACAAACTCAAAGTAAAAGCAGGGAAAATGTTTTATTCTCTTTTATTTACCATTTCACCAATAATGAGGTAGCTCAAGTAATGCACTAAAGGTGAACATGTGCATTTTGGTTTAAAGTATTATAGACACCGAAATTATCAGAATCTATGTGATGTTTGAACCTGTCGCAGTCATTATCTTTAATGATGGTCAATGTGCCATCTTGGACCACTGAGAATTCAGTGGGTTCAGGTGGGTTTCTGTATCCTTGGCCTGCCTTCAATAGTCCTTGATGGTTTTCTTCTTTCATGACACAAAAAGGTTTCTGGATTCTTTCTGTTTTAAATCTTGGTGCAGAACAGAAAACACCCAATTTTTTGAGAGTCCTGGTCCTTCAGAGCAGGTCATGCTGAATAGAATAGCAACCATCTACTAGCCATTCGTCATTAAGCTTTCATAACCCTGTGTAAGTTGTTTCTTTGTCTTTCTGTTAAGCTAAGCAAGTAAATACATGTGTGTTTACTCTTGTGTATTTTCTAAAGGGCTCTACCTCTCCTGCCACTTGCGTTTGGTGGTCTTCACTTCCCCCACCCCAGGGAGGCTGATGGCCATTGGTAGGCGAAGGAAGGAATGAGGGCCAGGCTGGTCGGTGTCAACTGTAGTTTATTCTAATCTCCACTCCCCTTCTGATTCTCTATCTCGAGCTCCCTTTATTCTTCTTGCTCCCCCCTCATTCTCCTTTTGGCTTCTGGAACTGACTCTGCCCCCCCTCTACCCTTACAGTCTTAGTTTTTATATAGCAATCATGTAGGGTGGTGACACAAAAGTGGGCTGAACATTAACAAATCAAGAGAGAGGTAAGACCACTCCTCCAGGAGATTAACTCAAGGATAAAATCTCATCTAAAGAAATTACTCCAGATTACTAGGAGATCTGCTCAAGGGTAGGATCCCCATCCAGGGTGTGCCAATTTCCTCTTTCCTCAGCTAGTAATCCACTTAAATAGTTGTAGCAAATCTATTTCTAGTATTTCTAGCAATGTCAATCTGTATGAGCACAGTAAGAGATATAAACTTAAAGTATGGTTCTTCCTGAGGACATCTCACTATATATTCCAGACTGTGGTCCTCAGGCCAGGTTAGTCTTCCAAACCCCAGCAGGGTCCTAATAACGTCACTTTTGGATCATGAAAGTATTTATGATCATTCCCTCAATTTATAGTTGAGTACTGTGGCGCTTTGGCCTGGCCCATTTCGATGCCAGGGTAGCTCACAGCCTGCCCTGGGTCCATTCAGTCCCTCGTCAGGACCCTGCTTTTGGGGTGCTAGGTAACTGAGGCTTAAGTCGAGAAAGAAGATGTCTAGGAGTGAATATTATTCAGAGTCAATTAACTCCCAAGTTACAAAAGCATAATAGTAACTATCTTCCTGTATCCATACAGAAAGGACATTGCTTTAATGTAAACTATGTAAAAGATATAACTTAGTGGTTCAGTGTCCTTAGAAGGATCTGATCTTACAGGTTAACAGAATCTGATTAGGGGAAAAGGTGATTAGCTGGTTTGGGAGGAGAGCACAGAGAAGAGTTTACAGATAAACACAGAGGAATGGGAGCACTGTGATGTGTGTAACCTGATAAACCTAAGCTCCCTGTGGCAAGGGAGAAAGGACAAACCAATGTTATCCTACATACTTATATGTACAAACGTGTGTGTGTGTGTGTGTGTGTGTGTGTGTGTGTGTGTGTGTGTAATGAATCTCTAATAATCCACTTAATTCATACTCAGATAATGGGGATGCAATTTGGCTGAGTGGTGAGTGCTTTGCCAGTTGACCCTCAGCAACAACTTCCTCGCCCCCCTGCCAAACACACACAACCTTGTATCTGTATTGCTTTTTGGCCAACATAAGACATTAGCAAAATCAACACAATTATTTGTTGGATAACATTGGGTTGTCCTTGCTCCTCCTGCAGGGAGCTTAAAGTTTATTGAGCTACTCCCATAACAGTGCCCCGAGGCACACCCAAGTGCATCAAGTAATAATAATCTTATCTTGCTTTTCTCTTTATCTGTCATTTATTTAGCAATGTCCTTTTTATACAGACATAGGAAGGCGGTTCATGCTATGCTTTGTAACATGGAAGTTAATTGACTCCAAAATAATATTTACTCCTGGGCATCCATGCTTACTTGACTTAAGCCTTAGCTGCCCTTAGTTCCTAGCACTCTAAGAGCAGGGTCCCAACGAAGGGTTTGGATGGACCCAGGGAAAGCTGTAAACTACCCTGGCATCCAAAGGAGACAAGCTAAGCACTATAAGTTAAGAGCATGGTCATGGAACAAATTCTGTCATGACCCAAAAAGAAGTAACTGAATAAGGACCCTGCTGGGTTAGGAAAGATTAACCTGGCCTGAGGACTGAAGTCTGAGAAGTCCCCAGAAAAGCCAACCTTTAAGCTTAATATATCTCTTACTGTGTTCATACAAAACGGCTAGAACTGTTATAATAAGTAAATTCATTATGATTGTTTAAAAGGATTACTAGTTGAGGAAAGGAGAAAGTAATGCACCCTAGATGGAATCCCACTCTTGAGCAGATCTCCTAATAATCTGGAATGCTGAACCCTCAGATGAGATTTTGTCCTTGAGTTAATCTCCTGAAGGTTTGTTGTTATGATAATGTTCAACCCCACCTTTGTGTATCCCCATCCTTCATGATTCCTATATAACATGCTATAAGCGGAAAGGGGAGGAAGAGGACTGAGACTTGACTTTGGGGACTAGAAAGTCGAGGACTAGAAAGAAGAGACACTCGGACTTTGAGGGCTTTGAGGGCTAGAGGGTCTGTGAGGACCAGAAAGAGGACTAGTAGATGACAATGACTAGAAGTAGAGGACTATGATGCTATGATTAGACGAGGAAGGAGATAATGAAGGAGAAGACTTTGAGGCCTACGAGGAAACTAGGATGATAGAACTATGACGGCTGGGACTATGACCAAAACTAAAACTACGACTGCACCATGAGGGGAGAGATGGGACTGCGTCAGGGAACAGAGAGAAATAAATTGACTAATGACCAGCCTGGGGCCCAGTTCCTATTTTTCCATTCCCCTGAAAAATGTCTGTCCATCACCACCGTGGACTGGCCTCGGAAAGCGGCTCTCAGCCACTGAATGCTCAAGTCCCACGCGTGCCCACAAGCCCACAAGCCTTTTCCTGGAAATTCACCATTACTGACTTGCATAGCAGTCTTAGAGTATAAAGAACAAAATTTAAGAATTTAAGGTTTTTGTTTCTTTCAACCCTGCGTGAGTTAAGAGTAGATATCTCACTCAGAATATATAATCAAACTTCTCTTTTAAAGTTTTCTGGTAATATAACGAATTATGTTTATACTCTCTACTACATACACGTTTAAAATAATCTGATTCATGTTACTTTTAGAAACTTTTTTAAATTCTAGGGTTTTATAAATATGCAAAAATTTATATATAGTCCAGAAATCCAATTTATACAATGGGACATATTTAGAGTCTGATTCTATCTTTCCTCTGTTGCTCCTATTTTTCACGGGATTGTTAAAAATATACTTTAACTTGCCACTGTTGTTTCATATAAGAAAATATGTATCTGTAGTCATATTTGTCCCTGCAGATGTTAACATACACATCTTTATTCACCCTTAAAATATATACACAACAACATATATACATATGTATTGGTATATGTTATAGTAAGAGTGAGATAACTTTGGACAACCTGGCAGGCTACCAAATGTAGCATGCCCACATGGCAGAGTCTGGCAAACTCCCCGTGGTGTACCTGATTTGCCAAATACCAGTAACAATGATGGGTCTCATTTTCCTAACCCTGAAAGAGCCTTGAATATGGCACTTTTTAAAATCTCAGGGCTAGGGTGAAGGAGACGTTACTGGTGCCTGCTTGAGGCAATCGACAAACAACAGGATGATTGTGATCATGATACATGTTATAATTATGTTACAATTTATCTTGGATATCAGTCCATGATAGGATAGAGATAATAGCCTTTCCCTTTTTAAAACACAGCATACTAATTTTATGGCTGTAGTTCTGTGCTTTCTAAAACACCTGTATGAAAAGGCCATTTTTTGTCCTTTCTTGATATCAATCTGTCAAGGACCAAACCTTTAGCAAAATATAGCAAAAGATTTTTTTTTCTAGAAAAATTATGAGGCAATACTGGCGTCTTCGCTTAGAGACCAGAGTTCTGGTTACTGTTTTCCTCGGTGGCACAGGTGCAGAAGCTACAGAGAGTAAATCCTGTCAGGTACCACTTGAATCTAAAGAATCACAGACTACCTCATGATAAAATGCATGTTCCTTTTCTGGTTAGACTGAGAACATCCACCACTCTGGGAGTAAGTGTCAGTGGTGTTTAGGGCGCTGGGGGTGGGGATGTGCAGTACAAGGAATTTAATCTCATACCCCACACAGAGAAGAGAAGCACTCCAGCTCTCTGGGCGATTTCCAGGACAAAGATTGGGTATTTTGATGCAAAGAAATAACACGCTCTGAATGTCCCCTCAGAACATGTCAAGATGGTTTTATAAAACTTTTAAATCACGGGGGCTGGAGAGATAGTACAGCAGGGAGGGCATTGGCCTTGTGTGTGACCAGCCCAGGTTTGATCCCTAAGTAGCCCGTATGGTCCCCCAAGTCTCACTAGGAGTGATCCCTAACCAAGAGCCAGGAGTAAGCCCTGAGGAAGGCCAGGTGTAGCCGAAATAAACAAAACCAAAAACAAAGAAAAACTTTAAGAAAAGAAGAAAGCAATGGTAAAACAGGGTATTTGTTTTGAAATTATATTTAACTTGGGGTGACTGTGGTAGAGAACAGTATTACAGTCATTCAGGAAATGTTTTCACATTAATGTTCATCACTTAAAGGTAGGTTTACAGCTGGAGTACATCTATGTGCTTTGCATGTGAGGAACCTGAGTGTGATTTCAGCATGGCCTGGTCCCTCAAGCACTGGGCTCAGAGGAAGTCACCCCTGGGTGTGTTCCCTGCAATGTAAACTTTGGGTTATATCCTGAGTGAAGCTCTAGAGACCTAATGAGAGTTAACTCAGCACAGTGAAAATTGTAATACTGTATTGCATATGAGAAATTTCCTAAGAGATGCTTTTCTTTCTGTATTGCCACACTTGGCACTGAGCAGGGGTTACTCCCAGTTTCATGCTTGGGGACATGCAGTGCTTAGAGGACATGCAGAGCTGAGGATTCAACTTGGGCCTCCCACATGCAAAGCATATGCTCTCGTCCATCGAGCTATCTCTCTGGTCCCCAATGTTGATCCAGTAACGTTATTTTATTTCATTTTTAAAATTAAAATTTGTTTATTTTGGAACCACAACTCGCCGTGTGGGGTCTACCTCTGGCTCGTACTTGGGAGCTCTTCCCAGCAGGGCCCAGAGAAGACTGCGATGTCTGGGATCAAATCCGTGTCTCCCCACACTCCTCTCCTTTGAGGTATTTCCCCTGGGCCTAGCATTTCTTTTTCCTTCAGGGTTCTCACCACATACAGGCAGAAAAGTAACTTCTGTTTTGCTTTGTTCTGGCTTTTGGGCCATATGGAGCAGTGCTCAGGGTTTACTCCTGGTTCTGTGCTCAGGAGGCCACAGGCAGTGTTGGAGATTGAACCCATGTCTATCACCGAAACGCAATCACCTTACCTGCTATACTGTCTCTCAGGCTCATCCCATATAAAGTGGTAATGTCAATAAACTTGATAATGGTAATCATTTCAAAATACTTAAATTTAAAAAAAATTTAAAAGATAAATCCTTTACCTTATTATATTTTACAGCATCTTATTATTTTAATCTGCATCTATGTAGAACAGAAGTTCTCAAAGTTATTTAGTCTACCACCCGCTTTCAGAAAAAGTCACTGTGCAACCCCAGAAAATCCAGCTTTAATCAACAAATGAAAATCTCCCATTGTACCCAAAGCTACGGGAAAGGCTGGGCAAAGGCACAGTTTGGCCCACTTTAGGAAATAATAATAGAATGACTTTTTTCCCCATAGAAATCACCTCCAAGTAAAATAATATCTTAAAGTTAAATAATAATACTAAAATGCTTTAAAATTAAACGAATTCTTTCAAGGTGCTTTTTATTTCCCTTGTGATGGCTGCTTTAGATTCCTTGTGATTGAAACATTGCCTTTATCAATATTCAGTAAAAATGCAAGGTATTGAAACCAATGGATGTTTATTTTCTTTTTAAGACTGAGGAAAAAGATGATAAATATTTTAGTTATGTCTGGCTAGTTACTACCACAGCTTTTGTCCGACATGAGACCACAGTTGACTGAAAATGAGCTAGAGGATTATTTATGTTAGTGCTGGAGACTGAACCCAAGACAAAAAGGGGGAAACTTTATCTATTTATTTGGTCTATTTTCACTCTGGGACCACGCCCAGCAGTGCACAGGATCTAATCCAGGCCTCTGGCACATGAAGCATGCAATTCTGATCCTTTATGCCATCTCTCCTGAGCCCCAAAAGGCTTACTTCATCATACTTTTTTTTCTCTCTTTTTCTTGTCTGTCTTTGGGCCATGTCTAGTGGTGTTTGGGCTTATTTCTGGCTCTCTTCGTAGTCAGTCTGACCTGTGCTCATGGCCTATTCATGGTGGGTCAGCAGCTTGCTAGGCAAGCACCTTACCCGCTGTACCCTTTCTCCAGTCCCTAAGTCCCTCTCTGCAAGCATTTTTCAAATGTACAACTTCTGGCCCCCAATTGCAAGAAGCAATTTCAAATGAAAGGCAAGAAAAATAACACTGAGATTATTTAAAGCAGGAGAACTGTTGTATACTTGAAGTTCTCAGAAATTTAATGAATTCTCTCCAGATCCGGCTGGCCCTGCCTAAGTGTGGGTTCTATATCCTGTACTCAAACAAATGTGGATTGAAATATAGAATTTAATTATGTTATGTTAAATATAAGAGAATTAAAAATGGCCTGTGGTAATGGTAACAGACTGAGAGTGATATCTACAGAATGGTATCTGCTAAGGAGGTTAGATAGCGGCGTGTGTGTGTGTGTGTGTGTGTGTGTGTGTGTGTGTGTGTGTGTATGTACGAGTGTGTGCGCATGTGTGTAGGCAAAGGAACACTGGTACTCAGCAGTGGTAAGTGCAGTGTTGGAACAGGGTACGCCTGAAACATTACTATTCACAATGCTTCATATAGGCCATGGGCTCCACATCAAAAGTTAAAAAGAAGGTGGAAAAATGTACGTGGGCTTACAATAATTAGGACCGTATTGAACACATACAGACATTGATATTCTTGTCATTATTCCCTGAGCAATAGAGTATTATCAACTATTCACATGGCATTTGCATTATGTCAGGTATGGGAGCTAATTTAGAGAGGACTTCCTATGCAACTGCCAATCTTGAACTGAGGTGGGTCTGCAAGAATTTCTTGTTAGTTCATGAAATAGTCATCACCTCTTAATATACATGATGTCTGATTCATACAGTGGTACTATAACAAAAATTGTTATATATCAATTACACGTAAAAATTCTCAATTTTAGGGCTGGAGCGATAGCACAGCGGTAGGGCGTTTGCCTTGCACGCAGTCAACATGGCCGACCTGAGTTTGATTCCTCCGCCCCTCTCGGAGAGCCCGGCAAGCTACCGAGAGTATCTCGCCCGCACGGCAGAGCCTGGCAAGCTCCCGTGACATATTCGCTATGCCAGACACAGTAACAACAAAGTCTCCAATGGAGACGTTACTGGGCCCGCTCGAGCAAATCGATGATCAACAGGAGGGCCTTTACCTTTACCTTTACCATTGGTCTATGACATATTTATCACATTTACAACTAATCTGTGAGTACAGAAAGGTTGGAAATCACTGACTTCAATGTTAGGGATTAGAAGTCCCTTGGTTTTCTGCAAAATTGATGCCATCCTGTATAGGTACTAAGCAATCTCTACCCATGGGATCTCAAGGAACGACTGGGGTGAGAAAAGAGCCCAGGGGCTAGAGCAACAGTTCAGCAGGTAGGGCATTTGCCTTACATATGACCAACCCAGGTTCAATCCCTGATACTCTGGAGAGTCCCCCAAGTCCCATCAGAAATGAACCCTGGGAAAAGGGCCAGGAGTAAGTTCTAAGCACCAATGGATGTAGCCTCAAAACCAAAATTTTACAAAAGTAAAAAAAAAAAAACTAAGAAAAAGAAAATTCGTGGTTCATTAAGGAACTATTAGGGAAACCAGAAAAAGTAACAGAAGTTGCATCTTGGCTCTGGGAGCCTGCAGGAGGCCAGGAGAGCATGTCCTGCAGATGTGATACACTGGATTCATCCCCAAGCCAGATGTCCTTGGCCCTTGAATTCCTGGGTATAGCCCGGCACTATTTGGCCAAATCTGGCACCACAGGGCCCAAGCACCGAGCCACCAATTGACTGGTTGGTCAAGGATACATGGGCGTAGGACTCCTGGAGCACAGTTTGGAAGTGTTTGTTCTCCCCCCCCCCCCCCCCACCTTCCCCCCTAACCCCAGAGAAATGAACACGTGTCTTGCAGTTACCTGTTCTTTAGCAGGGCTGTGAGGCTCTCAGAATTGAGCTGCAGCATTAGGGCCTCTCTCAGCGTGGGAAGCATGGACAACACTGGAACGCAAACAGAAGATGGGAAGGGTCACAGTGATAGGGGGCTCCCACAGAGAAACGCACCCTTTGGGCTGAGTGATAAGACACACAAGGAGCACGGGCCAGGGCTTTTCTTTTTAATGTGTTTTCAGCTGGGTTCAGCTGAGGGGAGGTTAGGTAAGTTTCTTTTTTGGGGGGGAGGGGGGGCTCGGGAACTCTGGCAAGTGCAGTTCAGTGCAAGCGTGTGAGCAGGCTATGATGCTTGGTCCTGCGGTGCTGGGGACGATGGTCTGTATCTGTGGCACAGTCCCAGTGTCCATATGGGAGGCACACGTGCACCCAATCTGCTGTTTTGGCCTCGGATTAGAGTTTTCTAATTATGAGTGCTATCATTAATATAAATGGTTATTTGCTAAAAAAGTTACTTACCAGCTTTTGTATTTTTGGTTTTTGGGCTATACCTCATGCTCAGGACTTATTCCTGGCTTATGTTAAGTGAAGATAATAAATGCCCAAAGGCAACAGAACCTGAGAAACGGTCTTCAGTAGGAAACATACCATAGGGAAAGAATGAGGGGGCAATTAAAGGGGAGGGTGGTGCTGATGGGGGGAAGGGACGCTCTTCTGGAATGTGTGATGCACGAACCCCTACTTTAACAGTACTGTAAGCTCTGATGCCAAATGATGCCAAAAACTTTTTTAAAGTAGAGAAACTCGCACAAACACTATGATCATAACAACGCCAAATCCTGGCAGAAGGCTAGGATTATTCCCAGGTGGTATCCACATTATTAGAAAGTAACAAGCAGTTAAAAAGTCATCAACTAGGAATTAAGAGTTACTAAAATTTTACTGTTCTTCCAGGTCTCCCAAGCCATGTCCAAGGGCTTTGGGGTGGCTGGACCGCCTTCGTGGTGGTCTGGGACATATGGTCTCAGGACAGTTCCTCAGATTTCCGTTTCCTCTCTTTGCACACTGAGGGTTCAAGTGGATTTGCTTTATAGGGTGCAGTAAGGATTGAGTCATTTAATAACATCAAGACAAGTGTTTCTATATACACGAACTGCTCAGTAAGTACTGGCTCTTTTTTTTTTGCTTTTGGGCCACATTCAGCAATGCTCAGGAGTGACTCCTGGCAGTGCTCAGGGGACCATATGAGATATCAGGAATCGAATCCCCATTGGATGCGTGCAAGGCAAGTGCCCTGCCTGCTACACTACCACTGTGGCCCCAGTATTGCTCAGAAAATTAATATTATTCTTATTTAGTTTTTTCAGACACAATCCAATTTACAAATCTCTTAACATGTGAGGGGAACATGTAGTCCTAACCCTGACTCATAGGGAAGGCATTGACTCCTTTCCATTTAAACCAAATAAAGATATTTGATTATTAGTCAAACATTAAAAACTAAACTCTAGGTATACCTTTGGACGTGTTGCTCAGGAAAACAGGCAGCAGAGGGTTGGGGGTCCTCAGATGCAGGGCTGCTCAGGCCCTGCAGTGCTATGGGCATCTGTGACTAGACCTGGTGATGCCAGGGGGCCCCTGTGGAGCGGGGGTAGAGGATGAGGGGTGAGGGAGTAGAAATGGGATCGCTTGCAAGCAAGGCATGTGCCTTAACCCCTGTACAAACTGTCTGAACTTAACCTGTGCTCTTTTCAAGTGAAAAGATGACTTATTCTCCTTCTCTTCCCTTCCCTTCCTGTCACGGTTGTTGTGATGGGCTTGGTTGGGGAGCTCACCAAGGGCACTCTCACACATATTTCACTTGCAGTGCTCTCAGGGGTTTGCTCTCGGAGGTTAGCTGAAGTGCTCACTCATAAGCTTGCTGGGCAGGGTGGGGTGTGGACACTGCACACACATTAGCTGCAACGTGCTAGAGATCACAAACTCTGTTATGCCCCTAGAATCACACTGTGTGTGTGTGTGTGTGTGTGTGTGTGTGTGTGTGTGTGTGTGTTGGGGGCGGGGGGGATAAACTCTGCAGTCAGGGTCTTCTCATCACTGAGCTATTCCCTGGACATGCCATCACCGTTCTGGTATTTTGTTTGTTTCGGGGAGGGTGGGGTAGAGGCATAGCCAGTAGTGTTCGAAGGTTACTTTTGGCTCTGTGCTCAGGGATCACCCCTGGTGGGGTTAGAGAAACACATGGGGTACTGGGTAGGCCACAAGCAAGGCAACCCACTCTAGTATGGCTCTGGATCCTGGGCCCACATGTTCTTAATATTAACATCAGCCTCTTGATCTGTAAATATGAGGTTAAATAAAAATATGAAATTTCCAGCTTTGGAAAAGAAAAATTCTCCATTCAAAATTAAACAAAGAAAACCAACCTTTATACATTCATTCAAAATTGTTCTCAGAAGAAATGTTCAAGAAAGGCTTAGGTTTTAAAGAATGCAAAAAAGAAAACAGATTTGGCACGGATCTGAGGATGCATTCTTTAAGGACTTATGCAAGCTTTAACCCGGCACCATATTTTCTTCAAATAGGGGGGCGGCTATGGCATTTCAGCAGGTTCCCAGCTCTGGCGGTGAACCCAGAGCCATGCATGAACACTGAGTAGGAGCGACTGGACTAGACTTCCAGACCGTGGCTGCCTGCTGCAAATGGAGCACGCTCATGGTTCTGGAGGCGGACACAGGCCCCATGAGCGCGCGCTGATTTCAGGCCTGCTTCCAGGGGTCACTCCCTCTAGACCCTTGGCCTTTCCACTGTTTCGGTAACATGCTGAGCTCGGTCTCCTCTCCAGCAGTCTGCAGAGCGCCTGCGCAGAGAGCACTTGGTTTCTGCTCTCGCGCCACCTCTTCAGGGAGACCTCAGGGCACCTACCTTCTCTGCCTTATTCTCAGAGCCGGCATCACCGCCCATGCCAGCTGTCGCTTCTCTTCCTCTCTCCCTCGCAAGCCAACTGCAGGTTGGGATTATTTTGAATATTCTTCTTCTCCCTCTGTTTTTCTATAGGGGCACCTCAAGTATGTGGTGAGTATGTCAAAAGAATGGCAAGCATTTATAGCGTACACTGACTTGTACGGATGCTCAAACTCCATGGTGATGTATTTGGTTCAGTAACATAAGTATTTGCTAGATTTCTCACTCTTCCTTGGCCTTTTCATCTATTCTCTCTCTCTTTTTATTCTGTCCTGAAAGTTGGCAAACCCATCCAAATCAAGTACCTATGCAGGTGTGTAAATGTTTCTCTTTGCCTTACCTGTCATGTTGCAAGTCCTCTGGTTACTTTCAAAATGATACTGCCTTCTTGCTTGGGCAATGTACTCCGCAGCTTCCCTCTCTTGTATTTCTCTGATTTTCTTCTGTCCATATTTTCCCAGAATATATACTCCTAAAACACAACAACTTGGTACATTAATCCAGTTAAGAGGACTAAAAATTTCAAGCCATATTTTTAATGAGCTTTTTCCAAGTGGAGGGCTATACTACGAACAAAATAAAAATTGGGCTGGAGCGATAGCACAGCGGGTAGGGCGTTTGCCTTGCAGGCAGCCAACATGGCCGACCCCAGTTTGATTTCTCCGCCCCTCTCGGAGAGCCTGGCAAGCTACCGAGAGTATCTAGCCCGCACGGCAGAGCCTGGCAAGCTCCCCGTGACGTATTCGATATGCCAAACACAGTAACAAGAAGTCTCACGATGTTACTGGGCCCGCTTGAGCAAATCGATGAACAACGGGAGGACTGTGACCATTTCTGGAGGGTTCCAGGCCTCCTTCCTGGCAATTCTGCACCTCCCAGGTCAGTGGTTCAAAGTCCCATGGATGTGGCGCTCAGACACTGCACTGTCCCAGCCAGCCTGGCAGTGCTCAGGTGCCCTGAGGGCACCTGAGCACAGCTGTATGCAAGTAAGCTGTACTATAGCTCTCTGATTCTTTTTTTTTTTTTGCATTTCACCTTTTATTTATTGATTTATTTTTTAAAATTTTTACATTTTTTTTAGTGAGACACCATGAGGTACAGTTGTAGATTTACAAATTTTTGTGCTTGGGTTTCAACTATACAATGATCAAATACCCATCCCTCCACCAGTACCCATTTCCCACCACCATGGATCCCAGTATCCCTCTAGCCCCCCCGCCCATCCCACCCTGCCTCTGTGGCAGGGCCCCCCCACGCCCCCGTTCTCTCTCTCCCTATGGGTGTTGTGGTCCTCAAAAGAGGCACTGAGTGGCAACCATGTTTTGTCCACAGTCTACTTTCAGCATGCTTCTCCCATCCTGGGAGGATCCTACCAACACCCTTTATTTGGTGCTCCCTTTTCTATATGAGCTGCCTTTTCCCCTAGCATGTGTGGCTGACCTCTAAGCCATGGTAGCTCTCTGATTCTTAAGAATGAAAACATTTTTAAAAGAATCACAATCTAAACACTATAAAGTGTGTGTGTGTGCATACACACACACACACACACACACACACACACACTTACGCACATACCCCTTGGCGGGGACATGGCTCACAGGGCTGAGCGCTTTTTCTGAATTCCCACCACTGCATAGTTCCCAGAGTACATGGTGAGAAACTCCCTCCCTGCAGCACTGCCGACTACAACCCCCCCAACACAAACAACAACAACAACACTCCCCAAGGCCCCCAATAAACACAAAGAAACAGCTGAGTTTTAAAGAGAAGGAAAAAGCGGCTAGGTGAGCTGGATACATCAGGATTAGGTGCAAAGCAACAGACTAAAAGTCAGTCTACAAAGTCTGGCAATGCGTCTGAAAATGAACTGGAGAGATCTTAAATCTCTAGAGACAGCGAAAAGTTGAATAAATTATACATGCAGCGGATTAAATATTCCTGCCCTCTGCCCATGTGCTGAGCGCACTCCCCTCCCTGCTGCTGTGACCAAGCCTGTGACCAAGTGGACAACTCTCAGCAAGCACCACAGCCACACCCTATCCGCCCCGGAAAGCTGCCACAAGGAGGAAAAAGAGGCGCCCACAAGGAAATCCGCAATGGTGGAAAAGGGAGGGAGAAAGTTTAGGAGTCCCTGATTATAACGGCAGGCAGGAAACTCGGTGGGACCAGAGAGACTGGAACGGACTTGAACTGGCTTGAGTGTGTCAGCAAAGACAGCAGCACAGAACGTGAACAGCCTGCCGCTCCCCAGGGCCAGGCGGCTTCCAGAACTGGGACTGTGACCGCTCCAGAGGCCCAAGCTGGCATTTGATACAAAACACAAGACACCCACCCACACACACACACACACACACACACACACACACACACCCTTGAAGGAATTGATCTTTTTCTAACATAATAGATGCCAGATACTGATTTTCAAAGACTAAGTCAGCAGTGTTTCGGATAATTTGATTAGCTAACCCACCTTAGCAATATTCGGATGAAAATGGATATAGGAATCTACCTAGTCATTCAGCCCGAGAAAGAGCTAGGCTGGGCTTCTTGGCTGAGAGCGAAGAGGATTTTCAGAGGAGCTCACTAAACGGCCAGCAAAATCTTACAGCAAGGCATGTTGTATTGCAGCATCAAAAAGGGACAGGACTCTGGGGTTTCCAGGAGCTTGCAGAACGGGTTATGATCCTGTTTCACCAACGCTTGCTAATAAATGTTTCCATGTGGGGGCCAGAGTTTTACCATAACCTTGTAGGGAGGGTAACTCATCCCCACCATCCAGTGTCTGAGACTCCCCATATTTACCACAAAAGAATTAAAGAATTGTGCCTGACCTAAATAAGTGAACTTGGCCTGTCCTATTTCTCACAGGTGTGTGTGTGTGTGTGTGTGTGTGTGTGTGTGTGCGCGTGCACATTCAAGGTACCACAAAACAAGCCCACATTCTGGCTGTTTTTCACAAATATGGGTATTGACATGAACTGGTAAGATGCTAGTCTCAAAATTAATAATTTTGTAAAGGGGCCTGTGTTACAATTCAAAATGCAGTATAATGCAGTAGCTATTGAAGGCATTATGCTCACATTTGAAAGAACAAATAAAAGTTCTGACAAGTGGATTCACAGCTACCTTTGATGTAACTTGTTAAAGAGAAGATAGTGCCACATTATGGAGAGCAAAAAATGAACTTAGTTTTACAGAGTAACCTGTAGGCAACTTACTAAATGACCTCTAAAAGCATTAAAGGGAAATGGCTCACAGCCCTAAAGTGCCCAGAGTTCAATTTCAGGCACATTCCTCCAAGTACCACTAGAAATGGACTCCACATCCCCCACACCCAAAGTGAATTGCTTGCATTGTTTGCACAGCTGGTTATTAACAGTTATGAGTAAAAAACGATGGTTATTTTCCAAATCACACTGCAAAAAAAAAAAAACACTGAAATGATGCATTTTGCAGAGGTGATAACTTTCTGATATAAAAGTCTTTTGGATTAGGAAACGTGCTCTCCTTGTGCCACTGCTGTCATTAGCCAGTATCTGTTCAAATTTGTTTAAAAGAAACAACTACATTTGTTTGATATGTGTGGTATATTCTAGCTAAACCTTAAAAAAGAAAAAAGAAAAACAAGTTGCACCTGGTTGAACTGTGTGGCTCCAAATTTTCTATGTTGAGGTCCAATGAGTGCCTCAGCATATAGTCTCCCAGTATTTATAGAGGTTATCTAAATATAGGACTGGTGCCCTTATCAGACACACAGGTGCCCAGGGAAGATAATGAAGACCTGCAAGAGTCTTTGATTGTGCTCAGAAGGAATAAATCTTGCCAACACTTGGATCCTGAACAGATAATAAATCTCTGTGACTTACACTACCCGGCTGTGTCCCCTCTCTGGAGCACCGCAGCGAGGTGTGCATGAGTACAACTAAAATTCTGCACCACAGTGGGCAAAGATGTGCAGGAAGAGCAGGGAGGAGTGTGAAGCCCAGAGGGTGATCCCGCCACAATGTGGGCAGAGAGAGAGAGGAATGCAGTCTCAGGGCCCGGGAGACAGTATGGCGGCCAGGGCCACTGCCTTGCACACAGATGGTGCAGGTTCCATCTCCAGCACCCCATAGGGCCTCCGAGCCCCGCCAGGAGTGGTAGCTGGGCACAGAGCCAGGAGTAAGCCCTGAGCATCACCTGGGGTGACCCCCAAACAAACCAGAAAACTAAAGGAGTAACTCTGAAGAACACGTGTGCAAGACCTGACCAACAGTATGAAACCCCAGGCAGCACCACAACCAAACGTAACGCAAACAATATGCTGGCTTAGTGATTCTAATTAATATAAATTTTTAAGAGCTTTAATTCTGAATGGGTAACAATGGCAGAAAGTTTGAAAGTTCTTTAGAGTCCTTAATATTTGGGGGTGAGAAGCACACGCATTGGTGCTCAGAACTAACTCCTAGCTCTGTGCTCAGGAATCACTCCAGGTGGTGGTCAAGGTGTGGCATCAGGGACTGAACCAGGGTCAACAACATGTGAAACAAACCCCTTAACCACCCCTGTGCCCTAAGGTTCCTAGAGTTTTTAATTTCTGAAGTATAAAGGCAGCCTCAAGTCACAAACATTAAGAACCATTGCTCTATTATCTTTTCATAAACTGGCCACACTGTATAAATTGGCCTAAAGTAATTATTCATCTAAAAGGCAAGAAATTCCCCACGTAAGAAGACCCGTAGCTTAGAGCAGACTGCTAGTGCAGTGAGCTGGAGCACTGTTTTGCTCACTGGAGGACAGGGGCGCAACTCCTGGCAACACAATGACAGCCACGGATCCCTGAGTGTCTCTGGGGGGACCCCCAAGCACGGGGCCAGGAGTAGCCTCTGGGTAGTGTCAGGTGTGGCAAAACAGAAGACCTGTAACTAAAAGAGTTTACTTGGTTTCATTCCACTCCCCCGCCCCCGCCCCGACCCCACAAATGGGCAAACTTCTCTGGGCATGCCCGCTGGTATCTAGCTTTCAAGCCTGTCCAAATGCACTCACTCCTTCCAAATTCTTTCTCAGCCATCCCATGCTATCTGTTGGTTTAACCTACAGAACATCTTTCTCAGCCCTTAATGGCTTGTATTTCAATTATCTGTATATTTGTGCCATGATATGAATGCCTTTACCTCCCTCTCCCCAAATTCCAAGCCGCAATGCTAAAGCCAGATGAGAAGGTATTAGGAGGCGGGCTCTTTGGAGATGTCACAGTCACGTGGGTACAACCCCAGAAGCACATCTGGGTTCCTATAAAAGGGAATGCACACCAAGGACACAGCACGGGAGTCTGCAACCCATCACCTAACCATGTTCATAAGCGGATCTTGGGATTTTCTGTTTTTAGCATGGAGAGAAAGACATTTCTGGCATCTTGTTACAGCATCCCCAAAAAACACAGACACTTGCTTTTTCACCACTATCACCCCATGAAGCCCACGAAGGCACAGTGCTTCTGGGTGGAAGCAACATTTATTTCTGGGCCTGAAACATCTGGGTTAAACGTCTAGCTCCTTTGTTGCTGAGACCCTGGGCAAGCCTCTTTAATTTTTCGGGCTTGTAGTGCCCACATTTTTGGAACACAGATGAGAGTAGCTACCCAGCAAATCTTCCACTAGCGCAGTGGATGGTCCAGTAAGAAGCCAGCAAAAGGTAGGTTAAAGTATCTTCACAAAGCTCTACATACAATCACATTACCTTAAGCACCCCACAGATATTTTTAAAACTAGATTAATTCAAATGTAACATGTTGTACATTGATTTCTCTCTAGAAAAACACATATAAGGTTCAAAAAGATTCCAAAAGTCCCGCACCACCTACCATTTTTTTCCCTTTTTTTTTACGGAACACTGGCATTATTTTATTTTCCTGTACCTCTGAACCATCCGTTCTTCTGTAATTATAAAGCACTGTTGTGAAATTCTGGGTAGAATTCTATCCAGAATTTCACAATACTCTGTAACTCTCTAGATAGATACAGTAAGTATCTATCTCTAAGTATAGATACTCTCTTGCTTCCCATATGATTATTTCTAAACTACCTTAGCTTGTTATATAACTCTAAAAGGATACTATTCTACCCCAGACTGATAGAGTTCCCTCTCCTTTAGTGATGGCAACAATATTTCATTTATATTTCTCCCATCACACTTCATCTCTAGCTTCCACAAGTAAAATGAACTCAGAAGTCTTAGCTTAAATTAGTTTTCAGTGGCTGAACTATAACAGAAAAAAGACACTGTCTCTATAAAGGATTTCTCAAAAAATGTAACGGAAACATTTTACCCCAGTTTGTGTGTGATTGGGAGGCGCATAGCGGGGTCAGATCTCTGGCACTGCACATACAAAAAAAGTTATGTTCATTAATGATGTGACAGACCTCAGAGACATGGAAAAGGACTAGACTTGCCTCATGGACAAGAAGTTTGTTTCAACCTTTCAAGATTGAACAAATCTACGAGAAAGAGAGAGAGAGGGGGGTGGGGAATATAGGAGTAAGGCACTTTCCTTGCATGCAGCTGGCCCCTGTTTGATCACGGGCACGGGGAGGTCCCCTAAGCCCCGCATGAGTAACCACCAAGCAGAGAGCGAGTCAGCAGCACTGATAGATGTGGCACCTCCAAAATGTATATTTTATGTGGGGCAGGAAAGATAGTACAGGTACTTAGGCACTTGTCTTGCATGAGCTGACCCAAATCTGATACTAAGAATTGCATACAGTCCTCTGAGCACCGAGCCAGAAGTAAGCCCTGAGCACCACTGGGTGTGGCCCAACAATCAACACCACTCAAAAGAATGAACAAACTTAAATCACTGACACCAATTTCATATTTAACTTCACAAGGAGGGATGATAAAATATTACACAACAAGGAAAAATATTTTGAGGGGAATTTGTTATTGCTCTTACGGTACTTCGGCAACCCAAAGCATGCAGCTATCCATTACACACACACACACACACACACACAGAAAAAAGAAAGAAAAAGAAAAATTCTCAGTAACTTTAAAGAAAATGGTGCCAGGAACTGAACCCAGGGCCTCACACATTCAAAGCCTGTGCTCTACCTGGAGTCACATCCCTGCTCCACAAAAACTAAAAATTCCAGAAATTCCCTCTCCGTTCCTACTTTTCCTGCTCCTACAATCCGCAGGATTTTCAATCCTCTCCTTCAAATCCCTGCCTGTTACGCCAAGACTGTCAGATTGGAGGTGGGGGGTGGCAAAGACACTCCAGATTGTTATCTGCTCTGAATCTCTTCCAGCCTGTGCAATTGGGTAAGGACGGTTCACTGAGCTGCAATCCCGGCCCATGAAGATCCAGGGGAAATATTGCTCAAGATCCTTAAACGGAGGATGGGGGTGGGGGGAGGGATCCTGGGATCTGTGGTGGTGGAAAATGGGCGCTGGTGAAGGGATGGGCACTTGATCATTGTATAACTGAAACCCAAGCACAAAAATGTGTAAGTCTACAACTGTACCTCATGGTGTCTCACTAATAAAATTTTTTAAAAAAAATAAAATGATCCTTAAACACTTCCTGACTTCCCAGTGTAAAAGCAGCAGAAACCAAACTAAAACAAAGGCTGTGTACACACTTCCACGTGCAGTGTCATCAACCTTCCGGTTCCTGCACAAACATCAGACACCCCTCTCACCCAAAAAAAAAAAAATTAAATGAACTTTAAAGACAAACCACAGAGTACAGCTTGAAATGGCAACAACTACGTCTTAGGAAACACCTGTGAAGGTGTGAAGGGTAACAAAGGGGAGAGGGGGGAGAGAAAGAGAGAGAGAGAGAGAGAAAGAGAGAGAATCACAAAATATTGTGAGAAAACATTGTAAGGGAGAAGAGAAATCACAAAATATTGCAAGAGAGAGAACATGTTGCGAGAGAAGAGAAAATATAACAAAATATTGAGAGAGAAAAATATTATGAGAGGAGAGACTATCACAAAATATTGTAAGAAAAATATTGTGAGAGAGAAGAGAATATCAGAAAATATTGTTGAGAGAAAATATTGTAAAAGAGAGAGAGAAGAGAGAGAATATCATAAAATATTGTGAGAGAGAAAATATTAAGAGAGGAGAGAATATTACAAAATATTGTAAGAGAAAGAAAATATTGTGAGAGGAAAGAATATCACAAAGAGAAAGAGGAGAGAGAATAACACAAAATATTGTAAGAGAAAGAAAATAATGGTAAGAGAGAGGAGAGAATATCACAAAATCCTGTGAGAGAGAAAATATTGTGTGAGAGAGAGAGAGAGGAGAAAACATCACAAAATATTGCAAGACAACGAAATATTGCAAGACAACGTTGCTTAGAAATAAAACCCAACTTGTCACCAAGGTAGTGGGTCCCCCCGCGACAGCGCGGACCGGCGAGCAGCGACCGGGGGTCCCCCAAGAGTGACACGGCAGCGGGTGCAAACCCTTCTTGGGATGGGGGGCTGCCCCCGGCTCCCCACCCCACCCCACCCCCACCCTCCAGCAGCACCCCCGCCCACCCCCGGAGCGCGGGGACAGGGTGGCCCGGTGGCTCTCCCTGTCTCGGGCCAGGGAACAGACCCCCACGCTTCGCAGAACGCCGCCACCCACCTCCGAGGACCGTGCCCAGAAAGATGCATTTCTTTTTGTGACGTTTCAGAAAATTCCACGTGGATCTCAGCATCTTCGGGCCGGGGCGGGCGCGGGCTTTGCCGAGGCTCGGGGCTGGGGGTGGGGGTCGCGGTTGGGGGGGGTGGGGGTCGTTGGGGTTTTGGCGGGGGTGGGAGATGGTTCACTCGGAAACCGTTTCTCCGTCTCCCGGCCCGGGCGATCTCGGCCCCGTCGTCGTCCCGAAACCGGCCCCGGTCGGTGTCACCCGAGCCGGCCGGGGGCGTGGACTGCGGCGGGGCCGCTGCGTTTGCTGCCGCCGCCGCCGCCGCCGCCGCCGCTCGCTGGGCCGGGGCCGCCCGGGTCCGTCCGGAATCGGCTCCCGGGTGTCGCGCGGTTCCGGTTCCCCCCCCCGGAAACGTCCTCCCCGGCCCGCCGCGTTCCGCCGAGCCGCCCCAGGAATGGAGGAGGGTCCAGCGCAGCAGCCGGCCGCGGCTCCGGGCCCCGTGTCACCCGAGCAGACGGAGAAGTGGATGGAGGAGGCGATGCGCATGGTGAGGCGCCCGGGAGATGAGTGCGTTGGAGGGGGAGACGGGGAGCGTGGGGGCACTTGGTCCTCTTCATTTCCCAACGCCCCCTGGGAGGGGATGGTCCTGGTGGGTGATGATCTGGGCTGACTCCCTTGGGATTCTCTCTTAACCCGAACTCGTCGGATGCCGGAGAGGAACTCCCCGATCTGGATTTGTCACTAGCATGGGCTAGGTATGCGTCCAACGCATCCCTCTTCCGCGGCTCCCGCTCACCATGACCCGGTTTCTTCCACGTTTGTTGGCCCACTCCTGCAAAGTGTGACCTCGTTTTACCTCCTTATTTAATTTTTTCTTTTGAGAGGAAGGGTGTGTGCAGGAGCTATGAGCTGGCGGGGCTTAGGGGAGACACCGACTTGGTGCTCTACTTGGAAGCTCATGCAGTGCTTGCAGGTGCACGTGGTGCAGGGGAAGGAAGCCCCGGCCTCTTGCATGCAAAGCGCGCACTCTGTTCTCTGCCGCCGTCTCTGGTTCTGTACGTTTGACCCTTGAACTTAACGTTGTAGAAGGGACGGAGGGAGAAAGCTGGGGGCATTTCTGGTCGGGAATAGAATAAAAACAAAGCTCAGAGCAAGCAAAGCGACCCCTCATTCGTTTATTCTGCAGCTATCTTTTTTTTTTTTATTAGTGAAACACCATGAGGTACAGTTGTAGATTTACAATTTTTTGTGCTTGGGTTTGATTATACAATGATCAGATACCCATCCCTCCACCAGTGCCCATTTTCCACCACCATGGATAATATCCCCCCCATCCCCCCCATCCCCCCCCCCCCCCCCCCCCCCCCCCCGTGGCAGGGCAATCCCCTGTGTTCTCTCTCTCCCTTTGGGTGTTGTGGTCTCTGCAGCTATCTTTTTTTCTTTTTTCTTTCTGGGTCACACCCGGCGATGCACAGGAGTTACTCCTGGCTCTTCACTCAAGAATTACTCCTGGCGGTGCTCGGGGGACCATATGGGATGCTGGGAATCGAACCCGGGTCAGCCGCGTGCAAGGCTATCGCTCCAGCCTCATAACTAACTTTTAACTCCTTCCCTTGCTCTCTTTAGGACTTTCTGGTTAAGGAGAGTTTTAATCAAATTTGTGTGTTATCCAACCATGACCCATATTTGTATATACCAGTGAGCTTAATCGGGATAAAAGTGTGTTTGGCATATATATTTATATATATAATACATATATGGGCTGGAGGGATAGCACAGTGGGTAGGGCTTTTGCCTTACACGCAGCCAACATGGCTGACCCGAGTTCGATTCCTCCGCTCCTTTCGGAGAGCCCGGCAAACTACTGCACAGCAAAGCCTGGCAAGCTACCTGTGACATATTCGATATGCCAAACACAGTAACAAGTCTCACAATGTTACTGGGCCCGCTTGAGCAAATCCACGAACAACGGGAGGACCGTGACCGTGATATAATATATATATATATAAAAACGCATATGCCTAACTCACATATCTATGAAATACCCTTCACTTTTCCGATCCTCTACTGTGCTGTAAAAGAAAATTTTTTTCAGAAATTTTTTTTCTAGAGAGACATCCAAAGGGCTGCAAAGTGCATGTGGGAGCCCCTGATTGAATCCCAAGGAAATAGTACCCTGTGGTTATAGCCGCCCCCCACCCCCCATTCCCACACTGCATGGTATGGCTCTCCACCCAAATCCTTTTGGAAGTGTTTTTTGAATTTGTTCTTCCTGTCCTTAATGCTCTCTGGTCTCTCCTGCAATTAACTCCACTGCCATTCATTCATTCCGTGAATGTTTATTGTGGTGTGCTGTGCCTGGCAGTGGGAGTTCAGCACTGAAATTGATGTTGGTTTATTTTTTACTCTGTGTCATTTCCTGTTTTTACTCACTGTAACAACCAAATATTTTTGCCTTCAATCATGATGCATGAGCGCATCTATCCATTTTTTCCTGTTACGTGCTTTTATTGATTTTATTGGTGGAGTAAAATAGTTTCAGTCAAAGATATTTACTTAGAAAAGTGAGGGGAGAAAGAAGGGAGTGGGGAGAGAGAGAGGGAGGGAAAAAGAGTGTTAGAGAGAGAGAGACAGAAGACAGAGAGGGAGAGAGATGGAGGGGGAGGGGGAGGTATTCAGGAGTACACATGTTTCTCCAAAGGGGAAGAACTAAGAGTAGGTGCCTCAGGTTGAGATATGGGCCACCTGGAGTTGGAAGGATAGTACAGCAGACAGAGGGTAAGGTGCTTGCCTTGCAGGCTGCTGACCTGGATTTAGTACCTGGCATCCCATAACCCCCCTCACCCCCCACCAGCAGTGATCCCTGAACCAGGGTAAGCCCTAAGCACCACTAGGTGTGGCCCCCAAACAGAAACAAACAAACAAAAAGAGACGTGGGCCAGATTTCAGGGTGGAGAAAGAGTCCCTCAGGCTTTTATAAACTTGATTTTCTTTCCATTTGCCTTGGCTTGGAGTTCTCTGCAGACAGAAAAGTTCATCTGGGTGTTGTCACAGAGTTGAAGCGGTTGTTCTTAGGACGTAAAGTTAAACAGAGTCCAGCATATATCTGTACATTTCCCCGCCCCACTGCCGACCCTTCTCTCCTTTGACTTTGGGGCTGCATCCTGTCGCACTGGAGGCTGCCCATTCCAGGCTGCTGAGATGCCATGTGTCGCGGGGTGGGGGGAGGGGGTTGTCAGACCTGGGGTTCCCTTATACAGAGCATCACTCCAGCCCTATTTCCCTGGCTCAGTGCCCTTTTACTTGTTTGTTTGTTTATTTTTAATCGAATGACAAGAGATACATAGTTACAAAGCTGTTCATGATCGGGTGTCAGCCATACAATGTTCCAGCACCCATCCCTCCACCAGTGTTCGTTTCCCACCACCAATGACCTCAGTTTCCCTCCTGCCACCCCATCCACCCAGCCTGCTTCTATGACTCTATGACTCTATGGCAGGCACTTTCCTTCTCTCTCTCTCTCTCTCTCTCTCTCTGAGTGTGTGTCTTTGTCTCTCTTTCTCTGTCTCTCTCTGTCTCTCTGTCTCTGTCTCTGTCTCTCTGTTTCTCTCTCTCTCTCTCTCTCTCTCTCTCTCCTGGACACTATGATCTGCAACACAAATGGTGAGAAGTTATTGTGTTTTCCCTCCTTTTAGCAGTGCCATTTTATAACAACTGTTCGTGACAGGGGACATTTCCCAGCGCTCATAGGTCCTAGAGAATCACGTGAAAGATTCTCTGACAACGCTTAGATGCATGAGAAGTCAGAGTTTGTTAGACTGCTCAGGCCTCCTTTCCCCGTGTATACCGTCACGCGTCCTGCCTGCCCCCTCGATGCCCAGGCCAGTGTATGCCATCTGAAGTTCTGTCCCTCGCCTTCTGCTCACCCTATCCTCATCCTACGCCATTCTATCTGCGGTGGAGCCCTGTCGTCTGTGTCCACTTGCAGGGGTGGCCGCAGGGCTGTCCCCTCTCTTCACCTAAGCCTTCAGCTGCCGCTGGGTGAGATCCCTACAGCCTCGGCACGGGGGAGGGGCGCAAAGAAGGAGTGCAGGGGCTGGAGCCATAGCGGTTGGGATGGAGTGATAGTACAGTGGGTAGGGCGTTTGCCTTGCACGCAGCAGACCCGGGTTCGATTCCCAGCATCCCATATGGTCCTCCGAGCATCACCAGGAGTAATTCCTGAGTGCAGAGCCCTGTGTATTGCCAGGTGTGACCCAAAAAGCCAAAAAAAAAAAAAAAAAAAAAGAAAGAAAGAAAGAAAGAAAGAAAGAAAGAAAGAAGGAGTGCCTGGCCCAAGCTTCCTTTAATCTGCTCTCTCCCATTTTCTATTGACTAGAGAGCCTTAATGCCTAAAATGACCAGTTAAAATCACCAGTTCACCTGTTCCCTACCCTTGCACACCACTGGATCAAAGTCACCCCTAGTGACTCTCGGGGGGGGGGGGGGGGGAGGGAGGCCTTCAGTGATACCTGTCAGGCATGGACTTGATGACCTAGTGCTGGCCCAGCCGTGCTCGGAGCCCCCGGGCCCCACCTCTGCCCAGCACATCCTCTTCCTCTCTAACTCCCTCCCTGGTATTTGCCTTCCCTAGTATTTGTGTTCTTGAGTAAAACGATCACACTGTAAATAATATCATCTGTTGCTGCTGTCTAAATTCCTTAGTTTCCCTAACAATTTTCTTTCTGAGGGCTGAGCCCAGGACAAGGGCTGTTGCTGAGGGTGTAGACAAGGATACAGAGAGAGGAATGTGGAACAATGTTACACTCTGCTTCCAGTGTTGAAGGCTTTGAATACATTGTTTCTTTTTTTTTTTTTTTTTTTTTTTTGCTTTTTGGGTCACACCCAGCGATGCTCAGGGGTTATTCCTCTCTCTGCACTCAGAAATTACTCCTGGCGGTGCTTGGGGGACCATATGGGATGCCGGGGATCGAACCCAGGTCAGCCGTGTGCAGGGCAAACGCCCTACCCACTCTGCTATCACTCCGCCCCACCCCCCCAACACATTGTTTCTTAAGGGCAGTGCCCCGGAGCCCTGCTACGAAGTGAATCTTCCCTGGGTCTTCATAGTAGGTTAGAGAGGACAGCAAATTCCCCCAAAGAAGAGAGGCTAGATGGAGACAGCCCTGCACCCACTTTCCTATTTGCCAGACCCAGGCTGCGGACGGCCGCCCGTTGTTTCAGCGTTATGCGCTTCGGAATCTCTCTGCCTTTACTTCTTGAGCAATAACGCAGCAGGTAGGGTGTTTGCCTTGCACGCGGCCAACCCAGGTTCGATTCCTCCATCCCTCTCAGAGAACCCGGCAAACTACCGAGAGTATCCAACCCACACGGCAGAGCCTGGCAAACTCCCCGTGGCATATATGCCAAAAATAGTAACAACAAGTCTCACAATGGAGAGGTTACTGGTGCCCGCTCCATCAAATCGATGAACAATGGGAGGACAGTGCTATAGTGCTACAATGCTACACACATATACATATTCTATGTATGTATAAGGATATGCGC